CAGGAATATGTGTGCCTTGAGGGTCTTGGTGCATTTATTATACTGGACACTGGACCTAGAAGCAGGTAATAGTCACCAAAAAGTTACTAGAAGCAATTCTGCTGTGTGGCTCCCAAGATTCCTACCGGTCTTTAATTTATTAATAAGGAACAGACACTCATCAATTAAAACGCCAGTGTGATGCATGGCTGGAGTGCTGCTCTGGATGTAGGAAGCACAGGATCAAACTATCATTCAGCCATGAGCTCACTCTAGCAGGCAGGGTGGTATGGTGGTTTAGACTAGTATTTAGACCAGAAAAGGAGAGGCCCAGGTTCAAATCCCCTCCGTTCCATGAAATTCACTGGGTGACCTTGCGCTAATCATGCCATCTCGGCCTAACCTAAGATTGCTAGAAGGATACCTTCTTGAGGGCCTGGGTTGCTTGGAGAAAGACTAGACAGAGAGTCCCAGCCCTCCTATGGAGAAAGCCTCAGAAATGATAATGTCACATAAAAACGCAATCACTGCTGGGAATCAGAGAAGACAAGGAATTAAGACCCAAGCATTTCCTGCAAAGCACTTGACACATCTATGCCACAAAGGGAAATACTGGGTTTGATCATGCCTGAAATTTCCATGCATGCAAAGGGTAACAAATTTCACTCATTCCCTCTTTCTGAGGCAGACCTCTGACTCCTCCCCCAGGAGCAGGAATTGGGGGTGGGTTGGGCTGCAGCCGGAGGAGAGTGGAAAGTCATGTTTACATGGATGGAAAACCTTCCAGCTGCAGAAACTTTAGGCAACAGCCCAGCCATTGAATTTCCCACTGTAACATAAATGGAAGGAATACTGAAGGTACACCTCCAATCCACTCAGAAGGGCACAGAGAGCTGAATGGCCATACAAAACTGTTTGCTGGATATATGAAGTTTCTTCCGTGAACTGAACTAGCTTTGAGGATGTAGGTTAGAAAAGCATCTCTGACACATAATGTGCCTGGCAGATAGCAAAGACAGAAACGCCACTTCCGTCTTCCATGCATTTGTGTGTGGTGGCTATCCATACCTGGGTGAAGACGGTGTTTTTGCAGCTGGGATCAAGTGCTGGATTGTCACGATGCTCCATGGCCAGGCGCCGATTGATGTACAGGCGTGGCATGAAGTTTGGCTTGCTAGTCTCAGAGTCCTTGAGGCACTGGGTGATTAACGCTGTGCGTCGCTTGGACAACAACAGGAACTGCTTGATACGCTGCCATGGACAAAGCAGGGCTGGGTCAAAGGCAGCAGTGTTCTGATGGTCCCACCCTCCGCCCATTTCTAACCAGCCGGGCTCCACTGACAGCATCAGCCCCCCCAAATTATTCTTTTAAGTAGCCTTTCCCATGGCTGCTGGAGGGTGGGGATGCTAGGGGTACAAAACTCCAGAAATCTGGGTTATCCTGGGGGTCCTGTGAGCTAGGCAAGAGGCTACTGAAGGACAGTTACAGCATGTCTGTCCTAATCAAAGAATAACCCTTGCATGGATTGCTCTGAATGTGAAGGTGAGGGTCCCAGGAGGAATCTTTGGCCGGGAGCCCATAGTGGCTCCTGGCAGCCCTGCTTTTTCCTAGAGAAGCGGGCTTCTGCGGCAGAGCTGGCTGCCACGAGATTGCTCTTTCAGGAGCCCCTCAAGTAAGACAGCACAGAAACCGGCACCCCACCCTTACCTTGAGCTGGCTGAAGGTGCCAAGCGTGTGGTCCCAGGATGGAACAAGGTGGTGAAGTACACTGTCCAAGATCTTGATAAACCTGCCAGAAGGGGAAAAAGGAAGTTTGGGTTACAGCATGAAAAAAAGTACGATAAAGGCAGGTGTATTCAGTATGGCTTTCAGCAAGGATACTCGAAGCCATGCCACATGTTCACATGTGTACACACATGCTTTCAGTCCCTACCACTGAACACATCACAATGATTGTGAGAATCTCTCCATTTCTCTGTGAAAAGAAAGCATTCACTGGCCAACTGTTATAAAAGATTCCCTACAAAGAGAGCACAAAGTGCTACAATGTTCCACAGAACAGTCTGGCTCCAAAACCAAAATGGACCATTAATGATAAAGGCCTTGGTGTTCTCTCTTTCAATAAATCCCATCAGCTACCTTCCAGGCACCCACACAAATTATCTTATTCCCAACCTCCAGCTGCACGTGGCCTTCTGTCTACCATGTTTCTCAGCTTCAAGAAGTTTGCATGACATCTGTTACCAGCCTTCCTTGCTCCATACCTCTGGATGACCACAGCACGCCGGTAGAGCACATCAGGGTCTGTCCCCTCCAGGCGAGGATACCTCACCAGGTTGGCTGGCTGAAACATATCTGCATTGAGCCCTAGTTCCCGTTGTCGAGATGATTTGATCTTTATGCCCCGGAGGCGGACGTCAATCCCATCATCTGCATAAAAAGGAAGCACAATGCAGCTCAGGAAGGTCAGTCAAGTGAGGAATCCTTTCCCCTGGTGAAGGGAGAAGAGAGAAATGATGGAAGGAGAAAGCCATTCTGCATCACTGCAAGGCCAGCATGAATTGGGGTTGTGTCAATGTCACTTCTGGAGAATTCCAGAGGGGCAGATCTGTTGATCTGTTGTAGCAAATACAAATAGAGACGACGTGCCATGTGCACATTTATTGTGACTAAAGCTTTTGTGGACTCTAGTCCTTTTCATGGGGAAAGTACTCATAAAGAGCAACCACAGATAGGAAGCACCAAAGTAGATGCCAAGCGGTGAGACCTAATTCCGCCATAACCCTAAGGGTTCCCACTGGCAGGGGTGTAGGTGTGTGCATGCACACATGTGGAGTAAAATTGTTTTTGAAGAGAGGCCACATCATTGCACCTCACTTCCTGAAAAGTAACTGGTTCACCCCCACATTGACACCCACACACCTCTGCATTCCACAATGCGGATTTCAATGACGGGCAAGTGAGCAGTCATGTCTTCCAGCACACACACATCCCCGATGTAGCTCCTAGGGACACAAAAACATCAGTTTCCTCTTGCACAGGACAGACTCACCACCACCACCACCACCCCCGCAGTCCTTTCACCTTAGAAGCGTAAAAATGGAGGAAAGGCTGCATTTGGCCGGGGACAGGAGCTGGATTCCAGAAAACCTGGTTTCCACCTCCAACTTGCCGGATAACCCAAACTCATCTGTCAACATCCTTTGGAGGAGCGTGGGAAAGATGATACTATAAAAGCTCATACATAACCACTGAACATTTCTTTAAACATAACCCTGGTCATGTGGAATCTGGCAAAAAACACTTCCTTGTAGCATACAGCAACTCTTAAGCCATACGCCTGAGCATTTTGCAGTAGTGTTCACACAGACTGAAAGGCCCCGAGAGCTGCTTGTGTTACAGAATTATGACACTCCCTTCTTTTGAAGTCCCACAAGAGCTGTGGCCAAAAAAAATATTTGAGGGAGCAGTGCAGGATAACTTTGTTTGGAGCAGGCATTTGGTGATTAGGGAACAAGGAACTTGTTTTAATTTACTTTAAAAAATAGTCATGTTGTTTTCCTCACATTTTACCTTTGGAATGGGATAGTATCTAAGCTCAAAAACCAAAGCCCTGTCCAGCAGCGTCTGATCCTTCACTGACACTAACAGGACAGTAGATCATGGCTTTGCATGATGATCTGGTTAGGATGACCCTCTTCTCTCCCGCTCCCCCATTCTACTAGGAAACCCACGGACTTTCCAGTGACTTTGACGGGACATGGTGTGCCAGCAGGATTTAGGTTCAGTCTCCCCTCCCCAGCGTCACTCACTCATCAATGCCCACGTCACTCAGCTTCTTGAAATTGTCACCCTCACCACCATAGACAGCCACACGCTTGGGCATGAAGTTCTCATCTGTTGTGTCTACTGTCAGGAACAGTTTCCTGAGGGAGAGAATTAAAAGGCAGGAAAAGGACAGTTAAAAAATTAAACCAAGAAAGCTCTGGAAGATGAACAACCCCAGAACAGAACAGAATTCCCACTGTGCACCAAGGAAATCCAAGTTACTCCCAAGATAAATCTCAGTTTGGTGACCAATAAATTATCTTGACTGAGTTCTGTGAAAACATCTGTGATCACAAAGGTCTACAAGTCTTTGTTAATAATGGAAGAAGGAGAAGCCTTGATTTCCCACATGGAAAGCAGGCGGTGATGTTAAACAAAGATTTTGCCCCACAATTTAGAGAGGTTAACCTGAGATTGTATGACAGGAGCATTCAATTCGGTAGGAGGTAAGGCTCTATGATGTGAACAGCTACACAATCCCTTTGTGTGTCTATTATACTGTAATTACATAAACCTCCTGGAAACTCCAGTTAGTGCAGGATGTTGGAACTTGGTCATCAGGAAACAGGCAATGCATCCATATTACACCTATTATGCAGTTACTCCATTGGCTGCCCATTAGCTTCTAGATTCAATTCAAGGTATTGGCCATCACATACAAAGCCCTTCATGGAACTGGACCCTCATGTCTGCAGGACCAGCTCTTCTCCTATGCCCCACCACAATGCCACTCATCTGAACAGGGCCTTCTACAGATGCCACCCCACAAACAGGCAAGATCAACAGCTGCCCCCACACAAGCATTCTCTGTAGTGGTCCCTACCTCTGTGGAGGTCAGGAAGGCTCCCACACTCTTTGGCTTTCCACAAACAATGCAAAAACAGAACTGTTCAGGAGGGCATTTTTAGAAACAAATAGGACTGCATTTTAACTGAATGATTCCGGAAGACATTTCAACACAGGGAACAGGACGGTGGACTATACTACTAATACGTATCACCCGCTGTTGTACGTTATCATCTTGCTCTCATTGTATTATGTCTCTACTTATGTAATACCATTCCTTGCATTGTTTAACATGTCACGTTTAATACGTATGCCTTTTTCAAATTTCTGCAGTTTTATTACCTTGTTTATTAGGTGTCTCTTGATTGTACTGACACATTACATAATCTGCCTTGGGTCTCAGTGAGAAAGGCAGACTATAATGAACATGAAACTAAGTAATATTATGCATGGGAGCAACTTCTACCAAGAAGGCTCTTCCATTATTAAACACTTCTCGTCATCCTCTTCTGGGCAGCAGGAAGTGCAAGATCCCTTCAAGCACAAAATCAACCAGTCCTCAAGCAGATTATCTCTACCCATCACTTCTCACAGAAGATGTCACACAGCAGAATCATACTCTAAGTCATCGAAGTCAGTGGCTCCAATCGTCAGTGGCTCCAATAGTCCACGAGGACATGTGAAACAAGTTTGCATTATGAAAGTCACCTCCTATGTGCACTGATTAGATCTGTACCTCCTCCCTTCTCCTCCATCCAGTGACTGGGAGGGAAACCCCTACTGCCCAGACTGATAAGAAAGAGATACGTTAGTGGCTCACTTGATGATGGTTCCTTTCTTCATGTTGAGACGGACCCAGTGCTGGCCCTGGGACCCATCACTCTCCCAGTAGGTGTCTGCATGGTTGTCTGTCAGGCATGAAACGTTGAACTCTTCCTGAGGGAAGCAGAGCAGAACACAGGCCAAGTGGAGAAAGACAGGATCAGTACCATTCACACACTCACCCACAGGCTGGATACTTGGCTCTGGAAGCGATCTGCAAGGTACCGAATTGCTTTCATTTCTCAACAGACTAAGAATGGGCTTAGAAAACTGGAAGATGGCAAGTGAAGCGGTTTAGAAAAATCATACTGCACAGAGGATGGGTAATGATAACAGTCAGGCATCTAAAAAAACCTCGCTCTTCCAACAATACCACCTGGCTAAGTTTGCAAAGAATTTGCTTTCAGATACCTACAGGATCCTTTCCATGATTCAAGAGGATGCCGACTCTAGTACCCCGAGGAAGTACACTCAGTCTGACATGTCAAAGCATCCCAGTCCCTGAGAATGAGCTCTAGCATCCACCTCATGGATCTGAGCATCTCTCTAGCCAGCCCACAAAAGGAAGTCTGCTGATCGGCAAAGGAGACACTTGGCACAGTACATCAGCACACATCAAGGCGTTTCAGTTTTATCACAACTCCTTCTACAGTTCACAGAAAGAGTCTCCGTCTACATTGAACCATCAGCAGCAGCACAACTTAACCTGAAAGTCTGCAGACTTCCAACAAGACAATGCAGGAACTCAAAAATCTGCATATTTCTAAACTAACAAAAGCTGACTAAAGAAAGCACACCACTTTGCTGGCTCTCGTCTACTCCACTGTCAGTATAAAGGTCATTCCATAGGGAGCCCCTAACAGGTAATCACAATTGGCAATGAGACTTCCAGGGCTTGTTTACCCCAGCCAGTGTGGCCTTAACAATCTCTTAACCCTTAGATTTTGGATACCAATCACACATTAACAGCCTAACTACCCCAATTACTAGCAAAAGCTACACCAGGAGCTATGATCCTAAAGCAACAGAGTGCAGTTCACGTGTGGCAGAGGTCCCTGTGCAAACAGAGTCCATTAACCAGGCTAATACCGTGTAGGAAGAGACATCAATGCTGTCCACATATTGCTTGATGCTGCCCAGATTCTCATCCTCCTTGCCAATGTGATCATAGAGGAAATGGACCAGATCTTCATCACACTCGTAACTCCATGTGGGAGGCACAAACCTAACAGGATAATGATGAGGATTAATTAAACTCTGCATGGAACCACTATCTCTTTATTCTCTCATCACTGGTCATGCTCTCCCATCTTCCCAATTCATCCTCACATGAAGCTGCCATACTGAGTCAAAGCATTCGGTCTCTCTAGGTCAGTCTCAATGCTCCCTCTGAGCTGTGGAGTCTTGTGAGCAAAAATTCTACTTTGTGAACTACTGGCATTAAAGTTGTGAGCCAGCGATTTGGCTACTGCATAGATTAGTTTGCTCTGGAGCCATCCTTCCTGAGCTAAAGCAAAAATGCGTGAGCTGGAGGCTAAAAAATTGTGAGCTAGCTCACACTAACTCAGCTTAGAGAAGAGAAGAAGAGATTGGATTTTTACCCTGCCCTTCACTACCCAAAGGAGTCTCAGAGTGGCTTATAATCTCCTTTCCCTTCCCTTCCCTTCCCCACAATAGACACCCTGTGAGGTAAGTGGGGCTGAGAGAGTTCTTTCAAGAACTGCTCGTGAGAGAACAGCTCTGAAAGAACTTGTAACTGACCCAAGGTCACACCAGCAGCTGCATGTGGAGGAGTGGGGAATCAAACCTGGCTCTCCCAGATTAGAGTCTGCACTCCTAACCACTACATCAAACACTGGTCAGTATTGTCTAATGTCTATTTTGTTTGGCAGTGGCTGCCCAGAGTCCAAGATGTTATTTTTACTCCCTCTTCTACCCAAGCACTGCTGCCAGTGGAATCAGTCACCCAGGAATACAAAGCTGGTCAGCAGTTCTGGCTGGTATGCAAAAGGGCCCCAGTCTGTGAAATGCTGCAGACCCAGCCTCTACTCCCAGATGAAGGGCACTGGCAGCCCCAAACAACCAGCCCTATCTTATGGTCACATAGGAAGTAGCAAGACCTTTACCGGAGTCTCTCTACTGCAGCCACATCTGGCTCCATGATTTTTGGCTTTGCTCCAAGATGCAGGGAATATGTTAAATCCACTACCTGTTCCCATCTGGAATAAAAGAAGGCAAACATCAATGACAAGAACAGATTCTTGTTTAGTTACACAGAAATAAAATGAATAGCTCAAACTGAACAATTAGTCTTTAAAACAAGGGAAATGTATGAGAAGAATTCAAAGGGCCAATATATAACCATTTGTTTAAGCCTTGAAAGGATTTAATTCATAATTCCTTTAACAACTATTCTTACTCTTTATTCAAACATCAACAAGTTTACATTTATTTAATAGAACACTTAGAGGGAAAGTATGATAGTGTATACTTGAAAATGTTCAATACTAGTACTTCTTGGCCAAAACTACTTTCACCATGTTCTTGTCAGTTTTTACAGAGAATGATGCACTATATGGGAGAGTGTACGTTTTGGAAAACATTTCCACACAGTGTTCACCTTTTGGTGAGTTCGGGGAAGGGGCAAGAATGTTTGCAGTACAGTAACTGCATTTCTTCCGCCCATCAGCCATTCAAAATGAGGAAATATTTCAATGTCCTCATTCTAAACTGGCTTCATGATGTCAAATCCTGACATCACTATTCTGATCACATAGTTAAGAAAAGGATGACAAAATAGCAGGCAGCAGCCACAAGTGGGTGATAAACAAGAAATTAAGAAAATGAAGAGGGTGTTTTGACTAACTTGCCTCCCTCTTTGTGCTGCAAATGTTTGGAATCCTAGCACCAATACCAAGCTGTGTGGTGAAGGGCAAACCTTTGGATCAGGAGGTAAGATCTGAGCAAAAGTTAAACCCTCCAGGTTGATTTAATTAGAAAAATAATTGGGAACTCCTAATTTCATAGAACCATAGAATCACAGAGTTGGAAAGGACCGCCAGGGTTATCTAGTCCAACCCCCTGCACAAGGCAGGAAATTCACAAATATCTCCCCCTCCACACCTACAGCGACCGCTGTTCCATGCCCAAAAGATTACAAAAAACCTCCAGAATCCCTGACCAAACCTTCCTGGAGAAAAACCTCCAAAGGAGGAGAGCCCACCACCTTCTGAGGAAGCCTATTCCACTGAGGAACTGCTCTAACTGTCAGGAAGTTTTTCTCATGTTTACCCGAAAACTCTGGGGCAACAGAAAACAACTCCATACCATCCTCTATATAACAGCCCTTCAAGTACTTGAAGATAGTTATCACCTCTCAGTCCTCTCCTCTCCAGACTAAACATACCCAGCTCCTTCAACCTTTCCTCATAGCACTTGGTCTCCAGAATCCCTCACCATCTTAGCTGCTCTCCTTTGGACCCATTCCAGCTTGTCTATATCCTTCTTAAATTGTGGTGCCCAAAACTGAACACAATACTTTAGGTGAGGTCTAACCAGAGCACAGTAAAGTGCTACCATCACTTTGTGTGATCTGGACACTATACTTCTGTTATTACAGACCGAAATCACATTTACCTTTTTAGCAACCACATCACACTGCTGACTCATGTTCAGTGTATGGTCTACTAAGACCCCTACTGCCAAGACAAGTCTCCCCCAACCTATAATTACGCATTGGATTTTTCCTACCTAAAAGCAGAACTTTACATTTATCCCCATTGAAATTCATTTTATTTGTTTTAGCCCAGTTTTGCAGCCTGTCAAGATCATCCTGTATCCTGACTCGGTCTTCTACCATATTTGCTACCCCTCCCGATTTAGTATCATCTGCAAATTTAATAAGCATTCCCTCTATCCCTTCATCCAAATCATGGATAAAGATATTGAACAAAACAGGTCCCAGGACAGATCCCTGAGGCACTCCACTTGTCACTCCTCTCCCAGAAGACAAGGAACCATTCACAAGCACTCTTTGGGTGCAATCTGTCAACCAGTTATAGATCCACCTAACAGTCATAGGATCCAAACCACATTTTTTCAATTTGTCAATAAGAATATTATGTGGAACCTTATCAAAAGCCTTAGTGATAATTTAGTTTCCATCAGCCACATTTGGCTTTGTCATTTCTGCTAGTCATGAGTTCATGGTCAATACGCTTAGCTTGTACCCAGAAGACAACCCTCCAATCACAGAGACATAGTTCTGGGGCCCCATACCTGATCACAGGCTTATAGTCCACTCCAAAGAGTTGCTGCTGCCTCTGGATTCTCTCCACAGATTCCACTGGCACCAGCCTGTCCCCACCATCAGCATGCTTACACATAAGTACCCAGCCTTCCTCCAGATCACAGCCAGTCTTGTATTCCTCCAGCTGTTCCTGCAAAGAAGGAATGCACACTTGGGTAAGCTGTCATTTTGGCACGCTGTACAATTGGTGCAATCAGGAGCATTAAAATATCTCTCAGGTTTATCTAAGGAGTCCAACAGTTCACTGTATCAATATGAACATGCTGTTTAAATGAAGGAATGTCTGAAGTAATGGCTCTTTCTGGTACAGCTTCAGTTAAAATCAGTGACCCTTTCCTGGTCATAGTGAGCCTGCAACAGTTTTCCTTCCCAAATGATGCAAGCAGCATTACACACAAAACACCATTACAATGACTATCTGTATGGACAGATACATAAGTATGCCTGCATTCCCAAGCATACAGTAAGTTTGCACAATTGCGGACCAGAAACCCGCAATATTTATAAAAATAACTTGTAAATTTTTATCAACTGTTCCAATCTGAATAAAGAATATTATACAAAATATCTCTGGTGTCAGTCCAATATTGAAAACACCTCCAAGTCCCAACAAATTTCCGAGTCAGTCCTTCCCAGTGAAGCCATAAAGTTTGATTTTGATGAAGACAAGGTGATCCTGTTAACGGGGCACCGGTAATAACCCATTTCCACAGTTCTTCTTCAGGAACAGGTACCACAGCTAAAGATAATTAATCCATACTGCATTTAATCTTCCTGCTTTCCTAAACTGATCTGATAAAACAGCTCCAAAATGTTCAAAGCACTCTGTGTTCTAAGACAAAAATCACTGGTTTAAAATATCATCAGTGATTTACCACCATCGATTTACTACCAGGTGGACAGTAAATGACTCCTAACACTGTCCCAGATAGGAAATCTGTTGGGACTTGGAGGTGTTTTCAATATTAGACTGACACCAGAGACAGAATGGTTTTGCTGCCCCCATGCTGGTATCAGTGCTAAAACCTCATGCAGCAAACCCCACAAAGTGGAGTAGAAATTGGCTACAGGAGAAAATCGTACTTTTAAAAGGAGAGGGGGGGAAGACCTTAGAGTCTGTCCCAACCTCTGTGCCATCATAAAGCACTGAGATTGGCCTCACAGCAAATACTCCACCTTTAGAAAACCTATCTGGTGGTACTTCTTTCCCTTTGAGGGGTAACCAGGATGTCCTGAAAACACAGCCCTGCATATGACTCAGCACACAGCAGGAAATATTCAAGAAACTGAAAGGAGCTGGAGATGACTCTGCAAACAGGTGGAGAGAGCTGAGTGTCAACGGGCTGAGGCACCACCCCCTATATATGGGGTGGTGGCTGAGGCCAGTTGCTCTGCATAGAACTGCACTGTCAATCCCAAAGCACATCTACAGGAAGATCTTCTGAAGGTGGCTAACCATGGCAACAGGACGATTTTTGTTAACAGACTTTAAATGCACGGGAGATCATAATTAGTTCAGATTATTTAACATTATTATAAAATGGTCTAACAGGGTCCATTAGAGATCCTCCTTTTCCATTGTGTGTGTTCAACACACCCAGCGCTTAATTTGAGCTACAGCTCCACCCTGGAATATTATAACAATACAGTCATCATAATTAAAGTGCCTCTAAGCATGTGCAGAGCTCATGTCTTTCCTCATCACATTAGTTGCCACACATCTGGCATTCAGAAGGCACGGTGCACTAGAAGTCCGAGGGGATGAGAGCCCGACCTGACAGAAACGCCACCACCTCTCCCCGTTGGGAAAAGTCCACAACCAGCCCGGCCGGTGCCTGGCCGCCTGCGCCTCCCCTGTGCTTGCGCTACACGAGCCCGCCCCGCCCCGCCCGGTCCCTCGCTTACCCGGGTGAGCTTCACCCAGAGGCCGTGCCCGTTGCAATATTCTTCGCCGCTGGCCCGAATGCACGACCCCTTGCGGAGTTCGATAGTGCCCCTGCCCGGGCACTTCCTGCCGCCGGAGCCCGAGCCGACGCCGCCGGCCTTGCCCGGATTGTCCCAGACTGACAGCAGGCTCCGGCCTGAGGCGGAGGCGAGCCCGGGGGCGCTGGGGTCCTTGCAGATCTTATACTGCACTTCGCGAGGCACGTAGCACAGGGCGGCGGGCAGCGGCTCCGCCCGGCTCAAGCACCCGATCGCCTCGTTCAGGAAGCGCAGCCGGCCCAGCAGCTGGTGGGGGGACTCGGCGGCGGAGGGCACCATCCCGCCTCGCGACGGCTGGCGGCGGGCAATGGGGTGCGGGGTCGTTGATTGATCCGGTGGAGGCTGAGGCCCTTCCCCGTTAGCCGCTTCCCTCCCGGGAACCCGCAATTCTGTCCCCAGGGCTGCGGGAAGGAGGCGGCGAGAGCGGCTGCTTCCTGCTAACGCCGTGCCTCCGCCTCCTCCTCCTCCCTAGCCGGCCGTAAAGCAACACCTATCGGCGGAAGAAGAAACGAGGCTGGCGATAAACCGTCGCTTGCGAGAGGGTTGTGCAGCTTGGAAACAGATTGAGCACACGGACTCTGACCGCAGAGCAGCGACGGAGGTTTAGCTCTTCAGGTGCCAAGGAGGCTCATCCTGCAGTCTCACCGGCAGCATTTCAGTGCACCCCCTTCTTGAGAGATTTGTTAATTTCTGTAAACGACGCTCGGATTTTTCAAAATAGGATGGCTAGATGATCCCTAATAGTTCGAAATGCCTATTTTATTCATTCCGTTTATTTATAGTCCCCCTTTTGCCGCGAAAACTCATGGTGGATTACAGTATAAAGGAAGATAAAAGAAATTATACGGTATTGTTGTTGTTCAGTCGCACAGTCGAGTCCGACTCTTCGCGACCATCTCCCGCCAGGCCCTCCTGTCTTCCGCAGTCCTCCGAAGTTGGCTCAATTTCATGTTCGTTGCATCTATGACACTGTCTAACCATCTCATCCTTTGCCCTCCCCGTCTTCTTTGACCTTCAATCTTTCCCAGCATCAGGGTCTTCTCCAGGGAGTGCTCCCTTCTCATTTGTTGGCCAAAGTATTTGAGCTTCAACTTCAGGATCTGGCCTTCCAGGGAACAGTCAGGGTTGATTTCTTTTAGGATTGACTGATTTGATCTTCTTGCAGTCCAAGGGACTCTCAAGAGTCTTCTCCAGCACCACAGTTCAAAAGAATCTATTCTTCGGCGCTCGGCCTTCCTTATAGTCCAACTCTCGCAGCCATACATGACTACTGGAAATACCATTGCTTTGACCATGCGGACTTTTGTTGGCAGGGTGATGTCTCTACTTTTTATCATGCTGTTGAGGTTCGCCATCGCTTTCCTCCCAAGGAGCAGGCGTCTTTTAATTTCATGGCTGCTGTCACAGTCTGCGGGGATCTGGGATCCCAGGAACGTGAACATCCAATTAACAACACAATATGATTAGGAATACCAAATTAAATGACAATGAGAACGCACACTGTCCAGGACAACATAATGCCACCAATGCAACCTGTGTGGAGGGATTACAAAGGTATAAGGCAATGCAGAACCCACTCCCATATGAAAGTGCCCTTCTGGACAGTTCAGTCTCACCACATTTCTAATTCCACTACAAGAATGCCGCCTTGGACATTTCTGTTTTGACATTTTGCAGAATGATAGTACTGTGGGAGCCTTCCTGAACTCCCCACACAGGCTGTTCCACAAAGTGGGAGCCACCACAGAGAATGCACGGGAGTGGGCAGTGGTCGGCTTTACCAATTTGCAGGGAGGAACCTTCAGGAGGCTTTACTCTGATGATCAAAGTTGCCATGGCACAGTATAATAGGAGAGGCAGCCCTGCAGGTAGATGGGTCCTAGGCCATGAAGGACCTAATAGGTGATGACCAGTACCTTGAACTCGGATTGGCAACTGATCAGGCATTCAGTCAGACTCCAGTGGAGTGACTACGAGAGCAATTTTCACTCTAAGCTCCACAGTGTTGTGAGTGAGCAAAAAAAGCTAGTAGCATTAAAGTTGTGAGCAAGTCTACATTTGACTATTGCATAAAATAGTTTTTTAGATTATTTCCATAATCTTGTAAAAATCTCAGAATGAATTATTTTAAACTATATTTAAATTATATTTTAAAAATAATTTAAACATTATAAGAGAAAACAGAATAAGGTCAAATTTCATTATGGAAAAAGTTGTCCTCTATGGGGGTAAACCAGGCCTCTGGAGAACAGGTCTACCCTCCCCTTTCCACTGTATTGGCAGACCTGGCCTCGGACTGTTAGGGTGTGCTGATCCTTAGAAAACATACCAGCACTTTGGGGGGGGGGCACTCTTTCAGTCTATTTGTGTTTTTTTTTTAGTGAAATATGACAAATCACAGGTCAAGTACAACAGAGGTGGAACAATCACTGTCAGAACCCTACCTAACCTGACAAACAGGAAGTTGCTTAAATATTATTGACCTGCCTAAACTACTTATTTATTCAAATATTTATATCCCAGGGGTGAGCACAAAAAAATCTATTTTTTCCGGCTTCATTATAGCCTGTGGGGATCATTATAGTCAATGGGCCCCATAGGCTATAATGGAGAATTGATCTGGTGTTATCTGGGGCTCTGGGGGTGCTGCTTTTGAGGTAGAGGCACCGGATTTGCAGCATACCTGCTGGTGCCTCTCCTCAACTCCCTCCCCAAGTTTCAGAAAGATTGGGCCAGGGGGTCCAATTCTATGGGCCCCAGAAGGAGGTGCCCCATCCTCCATTGTTTCCAATGGAGGGAAAAAAGCCTTCTCATTTTACTTGTCATCTTAAGCTAAAATCCCTGAGCTGCCAGCTAAACTTTTGTGCACCAGCGCCCCCTAGCACAGTTTAGAGGGGACTCTTGAGTATGGGTGTGGCATGCACATTCTGCCTGGCACCCACTAGCAATTGGGCTGCCACATTCTGTACCAGCTGGGGTCTCCATAGTGACTTCAAAGGGAACGCATGTTGACTGCAGTAGTCTAGCCTTGGGGTAATGTATCCATGTAGCCAGATTGGCTGAGTCAAGGTAGAGGGCCAAGCTGATAGAGCACTTTTTTCACAGCTGCATTGGCTTGTTTCTTCAGTAGTAATGCTGGGTCCAGTATAATAACTAGGAATTGAGTGATGATGGAATCTTGCCCTGGCTGCATCTTCCTGAAGTCTTTGAACCCTGTTATGTCAGACTGTTTAACTGGAGATGCAGTCTGCTTGTAAAGCTCTCCTACTGTGACCTTAAAGGAGTGGTGGGACTCACCATGCTCATCACATCTCTGATCTAGTGGTGGGTGGCTGCATAACACAGTGCCAACTCTCCGCTTCTTCTCTCCATCAAGCGGAGCAGTGATGGGAAGTATCTTTCTTGGATGACTCTCTGTTTAGGACCTTTAGCAAATAATACAATATTGTGAAGACACAGATATGCAGGTGCATAATCCACATTGGATTATGAAGGAAATGGGCCACTGGTGTGATGGTCAAGGCACTGGCCACTGCATCTTAAGCTGATTGGGAACAATTCTCAAATGCAGAGTCCTGCAAAATAGAAAAGTTTACTGAGAACCATTCCAAATCTACCTCTTGCCTAGATTTCCAAGAAGTCTCCTGAGAAAAATGTGGCACACCAAGAGATGATTTACCAGCATACCCTTTATGTAGGATCTCCTTGCTGCAATAAAATTGTCAGTGGTTTCCTTGAATTAACTTAGAAGTTGCATGCCTTCAGGGCTCTCCTTGGTCCCAATTCAGCAGTGCAATCCTAAACAGAGTTACAACATCCTTCTAAATCCATTTAAATCAATAGTCTTAGAAGGGTGCAACTCTTTCAATTGCATTGCATTCAATTGCATTGAAAGTTTACTTCATCTAAAAATAAAATAGTGTACTACTTTAAAAGCAATTTTGAACAAAATGTTCACCTGATCACATCAGTGGGCACTCTTGTAATGAGCTCCTTTAAGAAATTCATTCTATTCCATTTATTTTATATCAAAAATTAATTTGCTTCTATGCTGAATGTGAAAATTTACATTATAGGTTCAGTATACACTTCTGTACCATGTTTGGTTCCTTGGACTCTACTTGTAGGCACGTAAAGTAAGTGATGTTTTAGTAGATAAAGACCATTCCCTGTACTAGGCTGATAAGAACCTGGAGCTCTCCTCTCCCTCCCTATGTGATAAAAGCACCCCCCCCACCACCATGGATACAGACATTGTCCTCTTCCTGCCTTCAGATAAAAATGGTTTTAACCACAGTGCAACCTGGTATCCTCTAGATAAAAACAGGGGGAGGCGTTGCCAAATGGTAGTAGTGACTGTGCCTCTGTTTCATATTTCTACTAGCTGGAGGATCAGCAACTTGAAGATATTGTTGTTATTGAGCAAGGCAATCTAAATGGCCATGATGTGTTCATTAGGAAGAGCTTCCTACATCTTTGAAACAAACTGTTCACTGCAACAAGAGATTAATGAATTTGTGAAGCTGCCTTATACTGAATCAGACTTTTTTGGTCCATCAAGATCAGAGTGGCATTGGTTCTCCAGGGTCTTGGCAGATTTCTTTCACATCACCTAGTACCTGGTCTCTTTAACTGGAGGTGGTGGGGATTGAACCTGGGACCTTCTGCATACCAAACAAATGCTCTACCACTGAGCCACAGCCCTCTCCAAGGATGTTAATCTTTAGCATCTAGAGACTAAGATTGCAAAGCTAACAACACCTTCCTGGAAGTAAGCTCCAGTAAATAACATGGGACTTACTTCTGGGTAGTCCTTCTTAGGATAGCTTCTTAAATTACAGCAAGCCAGATGCTGTAGTGCTGTAAGTCCACAAATTCAGATCTTAGTATCTCCTATTAAAGATCTGAAAGGCAAAGCTCATGGACCTGGACACATGTTCTGACTCAATTTAAGTCTGGACCATGTCCAAGGGCTTTTAACAGGTTTCTGGAATGTGTAAGATAAAAAGTAATATTTGCTGGCTATTTTAGTATTCCATCTTTGTTATGAGAATGCCTTGGAATTATGAACTCAGACATGCCCAGCACTGCGGAAGGATGTCGCATTGTTGCGGAGCCTGTTCTCAAAAGGCCAAGTTTACACTTCAAGACATCTTCTTCAGATTCTGGACACTGGGAGTGATGGATCACAGCACAATGTCCTTGTAAAGCTGCAATCCTAATGCTATCCCAAATTATCTAGTCCCTATGCCAGAGTAATGCAGAAATATGCCAGCATGTGTCAACAAAGATGAACTGACATAGCACCCCACTGGCTTGCTGGTGTAAATCCAGCACTGGTTTGGCTGTACCAGCGGAGTGGCCAGAAATGGGCAGTGCTAGGGGCATGCCAGGGGAGAAGTAGGATTGAGTGCCCTGGGCACCCTCAGCCCACTGCCATAATGTTACACAGCAAAAAAAGCTGGCAGCGCAGTTTAGCATATGGACTAAGGGCCTAACTATATGTTATGTTTTCCTTGGGATCCTCAGGTTGGCTGAAGAGACATCTTTGGGAGTTCTGATGTTTCATGGGCCCAGATCGAGTTGGGACCACCGCCTGAGGGGAAAGGGAGCTTTGATCTTCCCTAATGTTTCCCAGACTTGAAATGGCCATGGGCAGCTGTTCTTTACCACATTGGTGTCTCTATTTGTACTGATTAGCTACATGGTACATTTCCCCAACGGGAAAATCAATACATCGATATATTTTCAGAGTGGTCAAATCCATGGAGACTTAAATCCAGAGAATGAAGCTGTGACCAACCAGGGTTAGCTATAGTGTCACTTCCCTTGTTTATGAAAGATCCTCCGCCAGTGTCACCTTCCACTACTGCTGTTTCCCAGTAGCTACCCTTCAAGGACTCCTCTGTTCCCTCACCATTGGAACTGCCCATTCTCTTCTGCCGAGGTGGCCCTTGATCCCCCAAGAGTTGGATGCATTCTTAGTCTGGCGTCTCAGGTATGATCTGAGCCGGTCTCCTTTATTTTCCAGCCTCATTGCTGGAAACCATGAATTGTTGGGGGCTTGGTGTGCAGCTTCACGTCTCTCACACATTGTGTGACTTTTCAGTTGATCCTCAATCATGACGCTGGTCGGGGTTTCCCCCTTTTTTCATAGAGACCTGCTACAGCGAGCGTTACGGTAATTCTTGTCTGCTAAACGAGGCAGCAGGGGGCGGATACCGCGGGCACCAATTGGTCGGGCCAACTGGGTAGGAATCCGGAAGTCGAGAGGAAGGGGGGAAGCGGTTTTCTCCTCTATGGAGGGGCAGGGAGGAGAGGCCGGTTCAGGCAGCCGCAGTGGCGGCGAGAGAACCAAGAGGATGGAACAGAATGGGGCGATCGTGTGAGTAGCAGCTGTGGCAGCACTCCTGGGGCTCCTCGGGCAGCACGGGAAGAACGCGGTCAGCTTTCCGGGCAAGGAGTGGACTCATTGGTTTAGGGGTGCGGCATGGGATGGAGAGGTTCATTCGCTGGAACATGAATATAGTATGGCGGCGGCGGGCAGTTTGGAATGGAGCTCCCACTTTTTCCTTCCCCTTCAACATTTTTCATAGCTGCAGGAAAGTAGAAATTCGTCCGCGGGTGGTTGTTGTTGTTTTTTTTTTGTACTGATGGAGAGATTAACCTGTTGAAAGTCTGCCGAACACAGTTCGAGTCCGGTGGCGCCTTTGAGACCAACAAAGTTTTATTCTGGGTATCAGCTTTCGTGTGCACTGCACGCACACGTCTTCAGATGCGTGCACACGAAAGCTTATACCTTGAATAAATCTTTGTTGGTCTCAAAGGCGCCACTGGACTCGAACTGTGTTCAGCTGGTTCACACCAACACGGCTGCCCACCTGGATCGGTGTTTCAGCTGTTGAAGACACAGGAGACCTATCGGAACGGGGAGAGGAATGTTTCAGGTGTAGAGCCGTATTGGGCTGCAGCAGAAGAGCTAGATTCGAGTCCAGTAGCACCTTAGGGACCAACAAGATTTTCTGGATATGGGCTTTCGAGAGTCAAACCTCCCTTCGTCAGATACAAGTAGAAATGGAGATCCTAGTCAGAAGGTGGAAGGGGTGTTGCAAAGAAGGGGGTCAGGGTGCAAAGGTGCAATGCAAATAAATAAAATGTTAATCCTACCAAGAAATCTTAACTCTACAGTCCTGGTGTTTTAATACTTGGGGGAAATGTTTACCTTGTTAGTGTGTGAAGAGGCTCCTCCTTGCTGTGCCCTCTGTTTTGCAACAAGTACCAGAGACGGGCACTGATGGAGGACAGTTTTGTCCTGCTTCATGTTGCCTTTTCTTACTACTAACACATGCTGGTAAAGAGCAGGTTATGTTGGAGAGAAAAGTCAGAGACTGGGATGGCTCTCAGCATTTTACTTTCCCCTCCCTCCAGTTTGCTGTCTTCTTCAGGTGCTGTAGCAAAACCGGCGTAGTGCAACACCTCTGTTGGGCTTCTTGTGGTGGCCGAGGGACCCATTTAGTGTCATAGAATAAAAAGTTTGTTCATTGTTTAGTAAACAAGATTGCTGTGAGGGAAAACAAGGCTGTGTAAAATAGATGCTTTCAATCACTCTAAAGCAACAAGATAGAATATGGGGCTCATTCTGTGCAGTTTTCTTCATTGATGAAGAAAGGTGCTTTCATGAAGGCTGGCCTGCTGTAATCACACAATAGCTGAGTGAAGGAAAATTGGGTTGGGATGAAGCTGTAGAAGGCAAAATATTTTCTATGTTGTGCAAAGGATTATTGCTGTTTCTGGCCTACCTGACACTTCCATCAGATTGCTTGATGCATCTCACATCAATACATTTAGCTGCTCTTTCATGATTCTGTTGAGGGTAGTGGAAGAACAGTGGAAGGATCTCTCCATTCACACATATTTATGAATAATGCTTAATAAATAACTGCCACCTCTTGCTGGCCTGCTTATAATTACCTCAAAATAAGGTGGTGCAATGTTTGTGCGCAGTCTGTCAGAGAGAGCTGTGGTCATACTAGAAACTAGTGCCTCTGCTGTGCCCATGCCCCTTGTCCTCAGTTGGTCCTGCCTGCCACTGATAATGTAATCAGCAGCTCTTCTGTGGGCTGGAGTGAGGTATTTGGAGCCTTTATCATTCACACTAAGTACAGTAAAAGCTTGTATGAGGAAGCAAAGAGGTCTATGCTATCCCAGTTGCTGCAACTGTGTGTTTCAGGAAAGATCAGGGAAATGCAGGTGTGAGAAAGGAAATAATCAGTAAATTACATATTTTTCCAGGTTCTGGTTCTGTCGCATTGTTCTGGCCAAGCCACTTGTCACCAGTGTTCCCTCTAAGCTGAGTTAGTGTGAACTAGCTCACAGTTTTTTAGCCTCCAGCTCGCACATTTTTCTCTTAGCTCGGGAAGGAGGGCTCCAGAGCAAACTAATTCATGCAGCACCCAAATCGCTCACTCACAACTTTAATGCCTGTAGCTCACAATGTAGAATTTTTGCTTACAAGACTCTACAGCTTAGAGGGAACATTGCTTGTCACTCCCTTTTTTTCTCATAAGTTTAGAAGAGAATGCTTCATCAGTTGAAGAGACTGCTTGCTCCAGAAGGTGCTCATAATACATTCATGCATGCAGGGCCAGAGCTGGAACAGAGCTGTGGGACACCTGCATGTGTGATCTTAGTGGCTGATGCACAGCTTACAGTCAGAAGATGAGAAAAGACTTTAATTTGAGGGAAGGCTCATAGCATACCTCTAAATGCTTGTATTTCCTTCCTCATTGTGAAACCAGAAACACAGCCTTAACATCCAGGTGGAACTGAGCACTGGCATCTTTAGTGTTATTAGAAAATGGATACGAGAAGCATTTGATTGCCCCAGTAGTACTGACTTGCCATCATAGGCATGTTTATAATGTTGGGAAGTGGTTTTTAAATTCATGAATGTGGACCATCTTGCTTAGTATTTGGGAAGCAGGGAAATGTAAGGTTATGATCTACGCAATTGAGCAAAAAACTGCAGATGACTGTTTCATCATCCACAGCGGGCCTGAGGATACACAACAGAGTGAGAAGTGGAGACAGTTTTCAGGCTAACTCTTCTGTTTTCCTTAATTAGTCCCACAGGATTCCCTCTGCTGAAGAATGATACATTCCTTCGAGCAGCACAAGGAGAAGAGACTGAATACACCCCAGTTTGGTGCATGAGACAGGCAGGAAGATATCTCCCAGGTAAGTGAGGAACATTGCCAAAATGGAATTTTGCCTGTTAAGGAATACCCACCCTATTTGAGGTACATTACCTTGGAAGAGAAGCAAGTTTGTGCTCCTGTGAGACGAGGTCCTTTGAGTATTACCCATTTTGCCTGTTACACCAATTTCCTGCAAATTTGATTGGTATTTTTTCCAATTAATAATCAATTAGTCTTAGGTTTCAGTATAAATTGATTATTGGGTTTTATGTTGATCAATTTATTAGGTAGCTTTCAGTTAGTGGGGTGGGAGAGAATGGGGGTAGATTTACTTAATTTTGATTTCCTCTGCTAATTTGACTGATGAATTAATTGATTAATCTTTAGTTATTGATGAATTGATTGGAGATTGAAGTTGTAACTAAGATATTAGTTAGGAAGTTAATTATTAGTATTGTTAAGGAGGGAGAATTACTGTTATCGGGGAGGGCAAATACCTCACCAACACCGGGATACGGGGGCTTGCCTTGCAATGGCCAGCCTCCTTCCTTCAGGGTCGGGGACAGAGGGTGGCTCTTGGGGGGAAGTTATCCCAGCGGCACCACTAGCATGTGGTGTTCTGCAGGGAGTGATTCTCTCCCCCATGCTGTTTAATATCTATATGCACCCCCTCACCCAGATTATCCAGAGATATGGGCTGGGTTGTCACCAGTATGCGGATGACACCCAGCTCTATCTACTGATGGACAGCTGCCTGGACACGGCCCCAGGACATCTTGACGAGGTGTTACAGGCTGTAGCTGGATGGTTACGACAGAGCCAACTGAAGCTAAATCCATCTAAGATGGAGGTCCTGTACCTGAGTCGCGGGGGATTGGGTAAGGGGATTGGGTAAGGGGATCAGGCTCCTTCGATGGGGTTCCATTGGTGCCTACGTTGAGCGTGAAAAGTCTGGGGGTGTTCCTGAATGCCTCCCTTTCCATGGAGACCCAGGTCACCACCACTGCCGGGTCTGCCTTTTTCTATCTGAGGCAGATCAGACAGTTAGCCTCATATCTTGCTCCCCGAGACTTCGCTACAGTGACCCATGCAGTGGTCACTTCCAGATTGGATTATTGTAACTCTCTCTACATGGGGCTGCCCTTGACTCTGTTCCAGAAGCTGCAGCTAGTGCAGAATGCGGCAGCAAGGGTGTTGATGGCAACGCCTGTGTGGGCTCATATCTCAACTGGTGCTGTGTGAACTGCACTGGCTGCCTATTGAAGTCCAGATCCGTTTCCAGGTGCTGGTGCTTACCTTTAAAGCCCTATATGGCCAGGGGCCAGCGTACCTTTGAGATTGTCTCTCCCCATATGAGCCCCAGAGGTCACTGAGGTCTGTAAATCAACATCTGTTAGTGGTCCTCAGCCCCAGGGACGTCGGACTAGCCTTGACCAGGGCCAGGGCTTTCTCGGCCCTGGTCCCTGCCTGGTGGAATGAGCTTCCATATGAGATCAGGGAAAGACGGAGCTCTTCCACTGGGCATTTGATTGAGGCAGCGGACGTCCCGTCCCCCCCCCAGCTTCTCTGGCCCTAGTTTCTCTGGCCCAGCTTTTCTAGGCAATTGTCCACTGGTGACCTGATCTTGATTGGTCATCTGATTACCTCTATGTTTACATGGTATTTTATGTGTAAATTGTTGTTTTAATACTATTTTGTATTATTTAACTCTTGTACACCGCCCTGAGCCCATTTGGGGAGGGCGGTATATAAATCTAATAAAATAAATTTGTCTGAGAAAAGGATATTGTCAAGGGCAAAACCTCTGGAGGATTCCAGAACTGAGTAGTCCAGTTTTAGTGGTCGCCCTTAAAATGAGCGTGGGAGAAACCAACTTTGACTGAATTGACAGTTTCTGTCCTGTGTCTTGGAAATTTTCCTTGCAAAATCTCTCTAACTAATATGGTTAGCTTTTTTTGTTTCCTAGGTCCAGTTCTTCTAGGCTAGGCTCCATAGGGATTTCATGCCCTCTGAAGAACATCTTCTTCCCAGTAATTTTCTGACCTTTTTGCAGAGTTTCGTGAAACCCGAGCAGCTCAGGATTTCTTTGCTACGTGTCGTTCACCAGAGGCCTGTTGTGAACTTACCTTGCAGGTATGTGGAACTGCTGGAGGGAGACTTCCTTGGCCTGCTAGAAAGAGTCTCTTGTACTAAAACAAGGATTATTCTTACTATCAGCCCTTGACTGGAGCTGATTATACCTGCATCAAGGTTGGCAAAAATTCTGCCACAATGAAAACCCAATTCTGTTCGTAAGAACATATCAGTGTTGACATTTGCATTATATATGCAATGAGGTGATCTGCAACAAAATGTGAAAGAGGTGCAGGTCCTGTCCTTTCAGCCTTCCTCTCCACCCCCACCCATAAGTCTCAGGATTTCTGGCTTGAGATTTTACCAGGCTTTATCAAAAGTATACATTGCTGCTATTCTTTTTCCCATTATTGTAAGAAGTAGCAGCAAGCCGCATGAAAGTCTGCTTTTGGCATTATTTTGTGTATCTGAATTGTGTGATAAAACTATAAGGCCATCCTATGCCACTGTACAGGAAACAGTATTTTTGTGCATTCCATGCAGAGGGGTCCAGTGCCAGTGAAGCCACCCAGTCTACGACGTGATCCATTGCATTCATTTTAAAAAGAAAAGGCTGCCTTTATGCCCTCGGGGCTGTAAAAGTAGCATTTAGTATATTAAAGCACTACTTTTATTTTTCAGATCTGTGAACTGTTCTAATACCATTCTTTGCTTTTTGCCTGATCCCCTGAGACCATTTCAGGCCAGGAATACAGTGCTTGGGGAAGGCTTAAGTCACCTCATGATCTAAATTGCATACTTGAGAATGAATGTTTAAAAGGTGCTGAAGGGCTACAAGCACATAATTCCCAATGCACCTCTGGTTTGGCCCTGAGTCCGTCTTCTCTCTTCAATTCAGTTGTGCCAAGGACCTTCTCCCTGAGGTGGTGGCACACCTTGCAGGCATGGTGTCATCCTGGCTATAATTTGGTTAAGCTGAGCACCTTGCCTCTACCTACTATTTTGTCAGTTTGCCTCTGTTTATTCTGCAAATATGGTCTTGCAAGATGCAAGTTTGGCAAAAGATTGGCTGGTCATGAGCCTGAGGAAGACAGACTGAGGTTGACAAATAAAGGCTTCTGGAGCATGGCATCTACTGGGGCAATACTAGGGAGCAAAGCTCGTTGTGGATGAAGACAACGGGCCCTAGAAAGGTTGGGTGGGTGGTAGAAAGAAAGATAGATAAAGAGATAGAGGGGTTGGGAGAGAGAGAGGAAGGATGGAAGGAAGGAAGGAAGGAAGCAAGGGGGAGGGTGGAGACAGAGACAGACAGTCAGAAAGACAAACAGACAGGCAGAGATGGAGGGAGGGAGGATGAAGGGGGGGAAGAAGTCAAAGCGATGGGGAGGAAGGGAGGAAGAGTGAGAGAGGGAAAGAATGAAGGGAGATAGGGAGAAAGGAAGAGAGCGAAGAAGGGGGGGTAGCAGTGACGCCGCTGCCGCCGCTGCCCCCCACCTGCTCCCCCTGGAAGGCTCTGAAGTTGGGGGGGGGGTGGAGTGGCGAAAACGGGCCGGCGGCAGCTGGCTCAGCACCACCACTGCCCCTCGCCTGCTCCCCTCGAAAGCTTGTGAAGGTGGAGTGGTGAAAATGGGCCCGTGGCGGGCGGCTCAGTGCTGCCGCTGCCCCTCGCCTGCTCCCCCCGGAAAGCTCTGAAGTTGGGAAGGGGTGGAGCGGTGAAAATGGGCCCATGGCAGCCAACTCAGCGCCGCCGCTCCTCGCCTGCTCCCCCCAAAAGCTTGTGAAGATGGGGGGGTGGAGCGGCATAAATAGGCCCGCGGCAGCCGGCTCAGCGCTGCCGCCGCTACCCCTCGTCTGCTCCCCCCAGAAGGCTCTGAAGCCGGGCGTGCAGGAGAAGTGGCGCGGTGGGGCCCGTTGCTGCCCTCCCCCCTCACAGCGAAGCAGGCCGGGATGCCCCAAGGCCTAGTAAGACCAGGGGCAGCCGCACGCGACGTACCAGCAGGACTGCTGGAGGCTATGGCAGCGGCAAAACGGGGTGAGTGAAACAGGAACTCTGTGGTGAAGCAGCCCAGCCAGAGAAGCCCCGGGGAGACATTTAAATGTCTCCCCGCGGCCTCCGGGGTGCTCCCCGCAGATGGTCATGTCCTGTCCGAGGACCAGAACAGATTAAGCCAAAGACAGTGGCTGGGGCTGACATGGGCGGGACTTTGCAAAGCAGCCAGCCAACCCAGCCAGTGTCTTCTGACTGGTAGTTGTTGCGGCCAAACACTGTTGCCGCTCATCGAATGTTGTGGGACCAAAACTCAATTATTATAGGGAGAGATTTGACAGTATTGGATCACAGTCAAATAATAGGCATTCCATTTATAAACTTTGCCTGTTCAGTTTATAGCTATGCCAACCATTGCTTGGAACCTCGCACAGACTGTTCTTTAGGAAATAGGTTTGAGCCACTTTTCCCTGAAGGTGTAAACCTCCTGTCCTATGGACTTCTTAGGGCTAAACTACACAATACATTTTTAATAGGTCTCCTAGACCCAACTCACTTTCCTCACAGTCAAACAGCAGCTGCGGCGAATGTCCTTTTAAAAGTCTGCAGGGGGCTGATTCGGCTCAGGGCTGCAGTGTCGGGGGGAGGGGCTTCTGCCTCCCCCCATTTTCCTGAGCTGAAGTGGCCTGAGGGAGTCACTTTCTCCATTTTGGAGCTGTGCATGCAGTATTCTATGCATGTGCTGCTCCTTCCCTGGGGGCTCCTTTGGCTTGGCAAAATGGCTCAGGGGAAGGCAGGAGCCCCTATGTTGCCATCCCAAGCTGAATTGAGCCCCCGCCGGCTTTTAAAATAACATTCCTATGATTGAGGGGAAAACAAATCTGGACTCAACTCATTTAAAAAATGAATCGTGTAGTGTGGTCCATAGGTTAGCTGCAACTGATTAATATAAAAATGCACTGGTAGAGTTACAAATATTATCTAGGAAGTGTTGTGAAAGAGGATGTCAAACCAGTCAAGAGATTTGATAGGAATGTTAGACAGTCTAATAATGGAACACTTCCCTTTCCATTAGGCACATGAAATGTTTGGCTGAGCAGTATTAATACTTATGTATCTAACTGCTTATTTCAAAACTGATCATGTGTTGTGTTGCTAGAGCATACTCTCAAGTGCTAACCTTACTGTTTCTTTCCTTTTTATTTATTCCCTTAAAAAAATTTTTTTGCCATCAAGTCAAGCTGACTTCTGTCGACCCCTAGTGGGGCTTGAAGGCAAGGGACGTTCAGAGGTGGCTTGCCATCACCTGCCTCTGTGTCATGACCCTGCTATTTCTTGAAGGTCTCCCATCCAAATACTAGCCAGGGCTGCTTAGCTTCCAAGATCTGACGAGATCGAGCTTGCCTGGCCTATCCAGGTCAGGGCCTTTTTATTCATTCCCTTTGAACATGCACCTGTCCAGCTTGTTTTTCCATAACAAATCACATTTTAAAATAATGTTTCCTCTGCTGTACTTTGATGCTTAATTGGATGTTCTCTCTATTTCTGCTGTTTCCAATCCATTTTTATTGTAGTTTTTTCTGTATATGTGACATTAATATCTTCAGCTTCCCTTTTTCAGCTGTACAAACTGCTTTGATGTGTTCTTTCACAATATAGTTCTGAATGTTAAAGTTACTATTTTAGACACATTTGTTAACCTTTTCCCCAAAGATTTTTTTTCTCCACAGATGTTTTTTCCTTTCTGTCTGAAGCTTTTGTTAGTGGCTTTCACATTCCCTGCTCTTTGTTCTTGTGTGAAAAACACTGCTGGCTATCTCCCCACTTCTTTCAAATTCTATTTATATAATATTTCCTTCTGCTTTCCCTCATTTCAGTATGCTACCTTTCAATATTTTGTTCAATATTTCTTATCTGTTTGACATTCTTTATGACTTCTAAAATGAATGGCTTGTGAATTAATTTGAACATGTCTTTATTGTAACTTTAGCACCTTTTTCTGTTAAAACAATACTTTTATTTGTGCTTTTTTAGCTGCTTCTGGGTATCTTCCATATTTTTGTTATATAATTCTGTACTCTCATTTCTGTGTTTCCTGGAAAACAGCTATCTGGTTTTCTCTTTCAGTCCTGCAGGATTAGCTATAGTTTCCAAATGTAACAAAATCAAGGAAAGTTCTGTTCTTCAATTCCTTGTCAAAATTTCCCCACCATAGTTTTTTACACATGATCAGGTATTTTCCTTCAGTGTTCATAACACTTTCAACTTTAATTAACTGTGTGCACGTGTTAAAGAATGTGATCATGAGGACATCTAATTTTGTACTGTTTGGGGAGGAGAATTGGAATCCATTCCCACCCACCTGCTATCAAAGAGTAGCACATTCCTAGAAGGAAGTGTCTCTCTCTGGTGCAGTGCAAGAGATGTAGATTGCTGGATCAGGAGATGATGGGTGGGTTTTGGGCCAGCCAAGAGGCTTGAAACCTATCTGATCTAGCTGGGAGGTCAAGCTTTTTTGCCAGGCTCTCCCTACATCTGAACTTCCCTCACTGGATCATGGACAGTGGCAAGGGTTTGGCACAGCCAGAGATCCCAGGTGGCAACTCCCTCTCCTCCGTGTAAGCTACAAGGAGTACCATTCCTTCAAGGTTCATATGTATGTTGAGGAGTGGTGGATTGTGTCAGTGGATACATGATGTTAAGCATGCATCCTCAGCTCAGTTTGCTCAGTGCCTTGAGGTCACAGGCTTCAGGGCAGCTTGTTTGCACAACCCTCATATTGTGACAGTTTTCAAGAGTTTGAGAGGCACCAGGGGATGTCCTTTCACCATACAACAGGAGCTTTTTACATATGTAGGAGAGGGCAGTTGTGGACCAGGTAAAGACGTTTTGGGTTTTTGAGGTCCTTGGCAATAAGCAGTTGTCAAGTTTTTCTTGCTATCTTGACTGTTGTAGCTGTACAATTGACTTCTGTTTTATTGGGTGGATTAATTTTTGTTACCATTTTTTAGACAGTGTATTCATTACTTTGTAAGCTGACTTCAAAACTTTGTTAGAAAGTGGCGTAGAAATGTACACCTACCCTCTTATAGGGCTAGGTGTAGTTCTCTCTGAATGAATAGCACCCACTTCATAGTTTTAGGGTGTAATATTGAAGCTTTGATTGAATCTGAATGTTTTGAAAACAAGATAGTAGAGGTAAGGCAGGGGAGATGTGGGTTTCTGTGCCAGTGGAGTTGGATTAGGATTCTCTTGTGAAGCATATGTTCTTCTAAGGCCCTGTAGGAGGGAAGAATGTGTCATTGGTGCTCACGAAGCTGAAAAGCCAGGCTGGCTCTGTGGGTAGGCTACATTATCCCAATTCACATTCACTGACTTCAAATGGGGAGAAAGGGAGAGGAGATGCCATGGCTCGGTGGTAGAAAATCTGCTTGGTGTGCAGAAGGTCCCAGGTTCAATCCCTGGCATCTCCAGTTAAAAGGATCAGGTAGCAGGCGATGTGAAGTATCTCCACCTGAAACCCTGAGGAGCTTCTGCCAGTCTTGAGTAGACAATACTCACCTTGATGGACTGATGATCTGATTCAGTGTAAGGCAGTTTCATGTGCTCAGGTGTGTTCAGATGGAGTAAGCTGACTTGTGTTCAGGTGTGCTCAGATGGGGGGGGGTACAGAATGGCAGCTGTTCTGCTTCAGCACAAATACTGTTCCATTCATGTTTCTCTTTGGATCCAGAGATCTTGCAGATCTTGCCTTTAGATTTTCAAATACTCTCCCTGCAGTCATATTTCCTTTTTTTCTTGTGCATTTACAATTGCATTTACAATTGCAAACTGAAAATAAATTGTCACATATTCTTTGCTGTTCTTTCTTTCAGCCACTGAGACGTTTTCCTCTAGATGCTGCCATAATCTTCTCTGACATTTTGGTGGTCCCCCAGGTAATACATGCTCAGGAACTAGGCGTATCTCATATAGTACTACTTGCCCCTGCCCTGGTTGTTCCCTAGAGATAGATTCCTTGGGCACTGTATGGGTTGTCAGCGGCATCCTGTTTTCCTGTCAGGCACTGGGCATGGAGGTGGTGATGGTGCCTGGCAAGGGACCCACCTTTCCCGAGCCATTGAAGGAGGTGGAGGACCTTCTGAAACTCCGACAGAAAGTGGATGTGGCAGCAGAACTGGGCTACGTCTTCAAGGCCATCACACTGACACGGCATAAACTGGAGGGGAAGGTGCCCTTGATTGGGTTTTCTGGTGCACCGGTGAGTCTGATACTTTGCAGATGTTGGACTCTGAGAGACCTTATTAAGGCCAACGGGGTGATGGAGACTGAAGTATTGTCAGAAAGTAATTGTGGCATGCTGTCCATCTGTGTTGCTGCCTGAGGCCAGGTGGATTCTGGGTTTTATGGACTCATCACTGCAACATAGCAGAGAGAAAGAAAGGTGTTCTTCACCTATAGATTTGAACACCCCTGGTCTCTCCTAGACTGATATGGCCCAGACTTCATATCCTACCTTGCTGCTCAGATGTGTTTATGGGTTGATTGATCTTTGTGGAACTGGTGGGTGGCTATTACTATCTTGGGCCCTTTGTTCTCTTTCATTTCCATTATTTTATACTGGAAAGTAAGAGCAGAGCAGTACTCAGCGCTGACCATCTCCTCCTACCTGTTGTTTAAGATTGGGAAGTGGAATTTCTTATTTCCTCATTAGGTCAAAATGACGAATGTTTGATTGAATTTGAATACCAAAAGTGGGAACTATTGAAGAGAAGGAGCATAAGCCCTTGAGCAGTTATTTTGTTGGGAGAAAATTGGGTAAACCTTGTTGTGGGAAAGCAGTTTAAGGCCAAAGGCAGTTTCTGGTTTGTCGGAATCCAGCAGGGTCAGTGCTTGGTTCCAAACTGAACACACAAATGGTTGAAGAAAGGTATATTTCCAGATTGAGGCTGGTATGGGTATGGAGGGAGAGGGAATTGAAATCTTGTATGTTCTTCTTTCACTTTCTATTATCTGCCCTTCAGTGGACCCTGATGTCCTACATGATTGAAGGCGGTGGCTCCAATACAATGGCCAAAGCTAAGGCCTGGCTCTACCGGCATCCTGAAGCCAGTCGCCGTCTGCTCACACTATTGACAGATGTAATTGTGGATTACCTGGTAGGACAGGTGGCTGCAGGTGCTCAGGTGAGTAGGGAAAAGATAAAACATTAACTTCCTATTTGGGAGGAGCTGTGAGTCCTTTAGAAAACTCTTGCCACAAGCATGTAAGCATTGTGGTAGACTGAACAGGAATACATCTTCAGTAACCTTTACCTGTTGTGGCCAAGGCACTGAAGAAACCAAGATAAATGAAGCTGGTAAAGATTTCTTTCAACAAATCTTAAGTCTTATGATTGTGACCCTGTTCATAGAAAGCAACCTATAATACAATGTCTGCTAGCTTTCAAAAAGTCAAGAGCAAGTTTTAAGCCTGTATAACTACAAGTAAAAATCTGAAACCAGATTTCCTTCAGTTTTGAAGGTATTAATCTTGGGTTGATGGCACAATATGTAATACAAGACTATTATTGCAACATGCTCTTTCCCTCTGGCCACTGTGATCCATGCGACGGTCACCTCAAGGCTGGACTACTGTAACGCTCTCTACTTGGGGCTGCCTTTGTCGCAAATCTGGAAGCTGCAGCTAGTGCAGAATGCGGCAGCGAGGTTGTTGATGGGCCTCTCCAGGCGAGACCACATCCGACCAGTGCTGCATGCGCTGCACTGGCTGCCTATAGCATACCGGATTCGTTTCAAAGTGCTGGTGCTGACCTTTAAAGCCCTGAATGGCCAGGGTCCGGCCTACCTAAGGGACCGCCTCTCCCCGTACATTCCCCCAAGAGGACTGAGATCGGGGAACCTCCATCGCCTGGAGGTACCAGGCCCCCGAGAAACGAAGCTGACCCAAACCAGGAGACTCGGGCCCTGCGGGACTTAGGGCAGTTCCGCAGGGCCTGTAAGATGGAGCTCTTCTGCCAGGCCTTTGAGGGGGAGCCGCCGCCGCCACTGTTCCATCAATGATATTCCAACCACCTACCCCATGAATGAGGTAGATGTCGCCCAATAGTGCTGAGAAATATTCTTCCTGGTGCTCCTGCAGTGAAGAACTTGGCCGCCAGTGTGGGACGTCGTCCATCTTGGTTTTTATATAAATTAATTGAGCACCAAATTTTATATTGGATATATTTTTATTATGCGGTTGTTTTGTATTGACATTTTAATTTTGTAAGCCGCCCCGAGCTGAACATGGGATGGGGCGGGATATAAATCCCATAAATAAATAAATAAATATATTGGAAACATGAATAAAATATGCAGCCTGCTTTATCTTATTCATATTTGTACAGAAGTAAACTCCACTGATTTCAATGGAATTTCCAGGTGTGTGTGTTTGGAACTGCAGCTTAAGGCTATTTAAAATGCAGAACTTGTTTCCATTACGGAATTTTAGATTGTTTTCTGGATTTGTTTGGCCTGCTCTGTGGTATTTATAGAAGCTGGCCAGGAAGTGAAGAACTGATTCCTTAATTCTCTCTCTTGACAGGCTCTCCAGCTTTTTGAGTCACATGCAGGGCACTTGGGGCCAGAGCAGTTTGCAGAGTTTGCCCTCCCGTTTATCCGGTCCATTGCCAAGCGGGTGAAGAGCAAGCTGCAGGAAGATGCCCGGTCTGCAGTGCCCATGGTAAGAGGGCTGTTTCCTTGAGGTTTCTCGCTGGGTTCTGGGCATTAGCAGGTTGTAAAGACAGCCTGTCCGGAACTGACTCTGCATTGGTACAAAATGTCACACAGTGGGTATGTAGAGGGGTGACTGTTGGAGCCCACTCAGTTCATCCATACCGAGTCTAGGCTGGATAATGCTGACTTTGTAGAGGTAATACTTAGTCCTTGCAACCCATGTTCCCTCTAAGCTGAGTTAGTGTGAGCCAGCTCACAGTTTTTTAGCCTCCGGCTTAAAAACTTTTGTCTTAGCTCAGGAAGGATGGCTCCAGAGCAAACTAATTTCTGCAGGAGCCAAATCGCTCGCTCACAACTTTAATGCCAGCAGCTCGCAAAGTAGGATTTTTGCTCACAAGACTCCACGGCTTAGAGGGAGCCTTGCTTGCAACAGAAGAAAGCTTCTGCTTAGGACCATGCTTCTTTTATTAGGCTCCTGTTGTGAGAACTGAGGAGATAAACACTCCTTACCGAAAATAAAGTCCTCTGTTACAGACCGGTGGAGAGCCCATGAGACAGGCCACTGGGCTTCCTAAGACTGAGCTGTGAACTTTAGAACCGTCATCGTTGAGCTACCTGCCTTGCACACAGCCATTCACTAGGGGTGGTTCTCTCATTTACCCAACCAGTGCTGGTAATCCTGGAGCATGCCTCTTTCTGGGAGAATAGTTGTTCTAGCTTGACTGGAGGTGGTGTAGTCCTAGAGATGGGAGGGTCGTGGGCTGTGCCCCAAGTCCTTTGCTACTTCGGGGTCTGAGTCAAAGTTAGCTGACTTTAGAGATGGCTGTGGGGTAACCAGAGGGGAAGTGGGGGTGGGGTTTTCCAGACTGTTGGTATATGTTGGTCTGTCCACTGTCTGCGCCCTCTGCCTTTCTTCTGTCTTTGTGTTAACGTCTTTCAGGTTGAGGCGGCTGAGCCCTTAAGGTAAACATTTTTTGTTGCAAACAGTTGCAGTACTCTGTTTCACCACTAGAAGACAGCAAAGCTATCCTAACGGCCAAACCCAGAAAGTTAAAGCTCTGGCTGTAATAAAAATTGGATGTTCCCTTCCCTCCTTGCAAGAGACCTGTTTTTGTGAAAGGGACCGCTTTATACTAGAGCGGATTCAAATCTACTGGGGGCGGGGGTAGATTCTGGTGGTAGAGTCCTGTTGGCTGCAACAGCTCCCTGCTTAGCAAGGCGTTTTAATGCTCTTGTGTTGGTCCCCAGAGCTTCTTCCATGAGAACAGAGGAATGAGCTCTCTGGAGTAAGCAAAGACAGGTGCTGGCCCCGGTGTTGCAGTTCCCCTTTTTCCTGGAGCCAGAGGAATTGGCACTTTCCGCATTTGTGTCTGTAGGATTTGTCAGTGACTGGAATATCATTGTGGTAAAGCTCTACAGAAGGAGCTGGTGATGGTGGCTCTGCCTTGGCTGCCTTGTTTTGCCAGGGTGCAGAGGTCCAGAGCTGCCTTGCAGGGAGGACCTACTGTTGACACTGATGTTTAACACGGGCCTTTGGTTGTCAATCACCTTTCAAGCATATCCCCCCCCCTCCCGCGCAGTTCTCCACGTGCCAACCTTTCTTTCCTTGACAAAAAATAAAAACATGATTTGTATAAAGGATGGAAAACAGGTAAACTTGTTCTAGTTAAAGAATTTGGTCTTTGGTATAGATGGGTTATCTACAGGTAGGTGGTGATAGTATTGGGTGGGTGATGCTAGTATTGACAAAAGCTATAGAGTTTGGAGTGATCTCCTTTAATAGACCTCTGTATGTTCCATGTTTCCATGCCATACAGAATTTGGCTATACTGAGGATCTCTGGGTTTTTATTTTATTTTATTTTTTATTTTAAGAGCTGCAGCTAGACTGGTTGGCAGGAATAGGTTTATGGCTTTATGTCAAGCAAAATAGGGTTGAATGGTATGTTGTAACATTGGGGGGTGGGGATGATCGTAAGATTTTATTGGTTGGGCACAGGAGCTCTATATATCTATTTGCTCCTCCCCCTGAAATTATGTAAAATAAGCAGATACATGCAAAATGTGTGTCAAGTATACAAATAAGTATACAAATCGTAGAGCTCAGCTTTTCTTGGGTGCTGAACATGAGATTCTCTATCATGAAATAGGCACAGCCATGGCCCAAACTTTGCTATCCTTTTCTCCCCTCTCTAGATTGTCTTTGCCAAGGATGCACATTATGCGCTGGAGGACTTGGCAGAGTCTGGCTTTGGAGTGGTTGGGTTGGACTGGACCATTCGCCCCCAGGAAGCTCGGTAATGAGAAATCAGCTGTCTTCCCTTGGGGCCTGTAGAAGGATACAAAGCATTCCTGAAACACTTTCCTTTGTGTGTTTATTTTCCTCAGTATCATATCCACTCAGTTTCTCAGTAATTTGTTCCTAACCTCTCCTAATGCCTGCTGGAGAAACATCATGAATCATTAGTCCAATGAGAGGGCAAGGGGCAGATGAGAAATACTAGTTAATAAGAGTGGAGAGAGAACATTAGGTGAAGCCTGCAAGCAACTAGCAGCTATCAAGGCTAGGTGCTCTTCTGCCCAAGGCCCAAATCCTGCTCCCATGCACTTTCTGTACAACAGGCTGGTTTCCCAGAAGGCTGAATTAGAATAAGGGATGACAACAGCAAAACGTCTCGTTGCCCTGCCCAGGGGAGACCAGTTCTGTTCAACTACTTAGAAGTACATACTAGGCAGGACACCAAGTAAGAACTGGCTAAATTCTGCCCTGCCAGATCAGAAACAGTTTTACATAGTTAAGCTTTTGAGCAGGGGTTAACCAGATGTAGCTGCAGAGGTCCCAAGTGGAGCATGACAGAGATGACCCTCCCTTGCTGTTGGCTCTAATATCTGCAAGCAGGGGCATTTAACTGTTTTCAACTGTTGTGGCTAACAGCCATTTATCTTCCTGTTTTGGAACCATCTGGACTAGTGACTTCAGCATTTTGTGACATAGAATCATAGAGTTGGAAGGGGCCATACATACAGACCATCTAGTCCAACCCCCTGCCCAATGCAGGACCAGCCTAAAGCATCCCTGACAAATATTCATCCAGCCTCTTCTTGAAAGCTGTCAGTGAAGGGGAGCTCACCACCTCCCTAGGCAGCTGATTCCACCTTTGAACCACTCTGACTGTGAAAAAGTGTTTTCTAATATCGAATTCAATAAAACGTTTCTTTTGCTTGAGTGCCTAAAATGCCCTTCCATGTCACTAATGCAGCTTTTCCCCCTGTTCAGTCAGAGGACAGGAAACAATATTACTTTGCAAGGCAACTTGGATCCATGTGCCCTCTACGCACCAAAGGTAAGGAGCCAGGCTCTTCGTGGAGGGGGCAGGGGGCCACAAGCCTGTAGATTCTTAGCCCTTGGTTGCATTCTGTGAGCTGTCTCCCCTACAGAGCTGTGAAGGGTAAAGACTCCAGCAGAACTTTTGAATAACTGCATGAGGTTAAGACCTCTGGCCCAGCCCACGGGGAGAAGCCGCCTTCCTCTGCTATGGATTGCTTGTATTACCTTCGCCTATTTTATGTTTTTCTGGCTCTCTTCCCGGTAAAAGGTCTTCAGGTCTTAGAGGGAGAGTATGGATTGTATCATGAATTAAGAATATAAGGCACTTGTGGCTCTTCTCTCACCTTGTCCCAGCCCCACCACTGCAACTTTTGCTGGGGGGGGGGGAATTCAGTGGTGTCTTGTGGCATTTTCTCCACAAGTGCTGCAGTAAGCGGGGGGAGCTGGATGAAATCTCTTTCATTCCCCCAGAGGAGGAAGTGCCACAGAACAAGGTTTCCTTTTCTTTACTGCAGCCCATCACATCTCTTGGGAAACTGGTCCACAAGGTTCCCTTGACTTCTCAGGATTCCGGGGTGTTTTGTTTGGGGGGGAGCCTTAGGGGGTAGCTGAGAGTGGTATTTCACAAGTGCTTTTGCTTTCAGTTCATAGAGTACACCTGTATGTGAAAACCTGGCATTTGGAACCAGCTTAAATAGGATACCAAGTGCAAGGTGAAAAGCTGCCTGACCATCCTTTCCTGTATGGTTGGAGACTGGCAGCTTCTTTAATTGCAAGTGGAGGCTGCCTGACCTAGTTGCTGAAAGTTCAAGAAGCTGTTGTCACTAACCTTACTGTGGCTCCATTGTTAACACTAATTCTTTGCCACTTTTGTCAGGAGAAGATTGGGGAGCTGGTGAAGAAAATGCTCGATGGGTTTGGCCCGCAGCGTTACATTGCCAACCTGGGCCATGGCCTTTACCCTGACATGAGCCCAGACCACGTGGGAGCCTTTGTGGATGCTGTACACGAGCACTCTCGCTACCTCAACAAGCTGCAGAACACCTTGGGAAACAAGTCTTCATGATGGATGGTGGACAATACACTGAGCAAACTGTGCCAGAAGGCAGTCAACCGAGATGAGCTTGTTCATGAAATAAGTCTGAAAGCCTGTAGTCAAGACAAGCACGATTAAAATTGCTTCTGCCCTCCTCATCCTGGCATACTGCTTGAAGGGGGGTAGGCTGACAAAGAATAGGCGTAAACATGGTTTATGCATAGCCTTGGGGGCAGGCCAGTTCACTGCTAAAAGTTACCTGTGAGAAGCTGTTGCTGGATGTGACTTTAGCCTAGCCTCTTGTGGAAGACAGCACATTTCCCTCCAGAGTTCGGTGGATGTGGTCCTCCTAATGAGCTATAGCAGTCTGTTCCTTGCCCATCAAATGCAAGAACTGTTAGAGGAACAATATCACACACACACACACACAATTTGTACTCTTTGAGTTTGTCGTGGCCATCAGCTGCAGCAAATGGAAGGGGTATGTCAGATCACACTGAATGGGGTGATATTTGGAACTGTTTCCCAGCTAGTCTTTGGCTGTGTTTTCCCTCCTTTAATTAGGATGTGAGCTGGGGGGAAAGGGAGCGAGTTCTAGTCTCACTATCCTGCAGTTGGTCTGCTATAGTCAAGGTTTGTACCCACACAAGCCATCGCAGAAGCTGGAAGAGTGACATAAACAAGGAGGAGGAAAGGCCCTCAGCATAAGATGGACAGTGGCTTCTATTGAGGTGGTCAGAATGAAAGTTTAATATGTAACAAACTTCAGTTCTATCTGCTCACTGGAAGGTAGTTTGGGTACTTTGTTCACAAAATGATACAGTCAGCCCCTTTATTAGTTTCTAGCCATGTGCCTCACGTTCCTGCTGCCTCCTTTCTGGGAATGTGAGAGAAAGTCATCACTTTCATGGTTCTCTGTGATCTTTTATATAATATGAGAAGTGCTATGAGTTTCTTTGTAGGTGAATCAGTTTCACACTAGGACTAAATTAAACTGGTAGACATTTTTGGAGGGCTATATCCAGTAGGAAGCGAGTATGAAGGCCGGGAATCCAAACACGGTAACAGGAACTGGGCCCCTGCAGTGGCAGACTGTTATAATGACATGTTCAGGGAATGTGGCCCTTCTAAAATTTATGCCTACATATTTTGGTCATGCATAATTCAGTCCACAGCAGGGAGGAGACAAAACCTTGTATTCCCCCAGCTGGTGTGTCAGTGTATGTGTGTATGCTAGATCTAAGTAGCTGTGATGGTTCAGGAGGCTGTACCAAGCCTCTTCTCATCTCTCCCTCTTACCAAAAACCTGCATTTACATAACTGTCTTTGGTTCAGCATTGCAACATGACTGATATAGAAATGGCTGGAGTGATACAGAGGTGGTATGAACTTCTGCTTCCTTTTTATTAAACATCCGGTCAAGAAGTTGTACACACAAAATAAAAAGAGACGTGAAGAATGATACTTCTGTGGCAACAAATACTGAGTGAGCTGGGTTTGCCTGCCCCTGGGTCCTGATTTTTTATTTTCCTTTTTAAAGGATTTCTTCAAAACAAAATTGGAATCAAACAGTAGATAATTAATCCTTATTTTCTAAGCTACACCACCCCAACCCCTCCCCCCAACCCTTTTAAAAGCTAGAACGCACTGGAACAGGGGGACACAAAGACACTTGGAATAAGGAAGAGCCATTTTTGCTCCCACTCCACCCCCATGCCTTCACTGGAATAAGTTCAAATTAAGATGAACCACTGAACGGTGGCCGGGAGATGGAGCGGTAAACAATATGACATGTGCTGTCTTCAAGAGGGCACCAGCCTCCCCGAGTGCCGTCAAAGGCAGCCATTTAGAAATGGATTTGAAAATAAAGACATAAAAATGAGAGCAAACTCTGATTCCTGCTCCCCATTTGCCCAGAAGGAAAGACAGAAACCTTCCCATGTGCATGTTCACAGAGGTATGCAATTCTTGCACGCGCCCATCCATTCGCACATGGAGAAAGGCCAAAAAAATAGATTATTTACACTATGGGCTCAACTGTTTTGCAGCCAGGTGTCTGACTTCCTGGGGTCTCTGTACTCCATACTCGGAAACACAGTACAAACCAAAAAACAGGCAGGAAGAGTGTCGTGGCTGACAGCCAGTAGGCCCAGTCCACACCCTGATGGCCTTGAAATGTTGAGGTGTGTCTGGTTCTGCTGTTGCCACTCTTGGCCTCCCCTCTTCCAAGGCTGCAAGGTCTCAGTGGCTCTGCACAGGCTCTGGATTTCCCTCCACTTGCCACAGACCACCCCACCCTCCTCACCAACAGCACTGGGGGGAAACCTGAGAAATGTTCACGTTTCTCATGTTCAGAAATGATTTAACAAAATCATAATAACAATCCCAGCCCATGACAAGTTTCAAGTATCCCCCAAACAGAATAATTATAAATAATTAGAACTTTACAATTTAATAATTGACACATATACTATTGTATTTACAGTATCATAAATGTTTCTGTTACTTTTAGTAAAGCAATCCCTGAGAATAGTTGCCTTTAGGTTCTTAATTAAGGATCTTCTCTCTCTCTCTCTCTCTCTCTCGCACACACACACAAATGGTGAAACTTGCCCATCTTGGCAGGATGTGCTTCTCGCAAGGCCACCAGCTCAGAGCCCAGGTGGCAATGCAAGAGGCTGCGCCAACATGCTTCGGTCCCTCCTTTGTGGATTTTTTTTGCTTTTCAGCCTCCATCCGCCATGCCCTTTGGGGAAGAGGTATTCTATTTCCTGGTTAGCTTTTGGTATTGCTGAGGTGTTTGCAAGTGAGTGGTGGGTGGGAAGCAAACCATTCCTACTATGCTGACTTTTGGTTTATGTTCCTTGAAGACTCTGGGAATCCTTGCCCAATGGAAAACATAGTCTTGCCCAGTAAGCACTTGAATCCACCAACAGTAATCAGGGGCCCGTCTTTTCGTTGCGGAGAAACTCATCCAAATCGCTCCCTCACCAGCAACATGAGCTTCTTTTTACCCTTGTAGATCTGCTTGAGGTTGTCTATAAACTGGGCAAACTGAATGTGGCCATCCTGGGCCAGCAAGAAAGTCTCCCGGGCTTTGCTGAGAAACTCTATGAACTCTCCGTAGTGCCGAGGGCTGATGTGGGTGAGCCGGGAGTGTGTGGTGTTGATGTAGGCGCTTATTGTAGCATCCAGCAATTGGCGCAAAGGTGCTTTGTCTGTTGACATCAGTTTCCCAGAGTTCCTGCGGCCAGAAATGCCGGCCAGGCCTGGTGCAGTCATGGTGCAGCGCCGCAGAATATCAGACAGCACTGTTGCACAGTGCACACTCTTCACCACTAATGGGATGATGGCTGCCAGCTCATTTTTCCCCAGAGAGTGGCTGAGTGCACAGGCCCAAAGCACATCGTTGATGGCAGGGTGCGTGTCCTGATTATAGGCAAGGTTGAGGTGGGTCATGGCAAGGGATGCCAGCTTGAAGGCCCGCAGTGGGTAGCCACGATGCTCCATGTACCGTGCAATTGTGAAGAGCTGTGAATAAGTCATGCCTGTGGAAGCAGCATCTATAACAATTTGATAAGCAGTCTCAAAGGCAATGTGATCCTTCTCGCACAGAGTCAAGGCTGAGAGGGCACAGTTCTGGGGGTCCTTCATAGCACACTGCAGGGCCAAAGTGCGAGCGCAGCTGGCCAGCTCTTCTCGTTGTGGATAGTCCAGGCTGAGGCGCAATATGGTATTGTGGGACATCACAGTTGCCGCTACTATGCTGGTAGCTTCAGTGGGGGTGAAGAGGGTATACCAGCTTTGTAAGATGCTGACCAGGGCCCGTACACCTGCAAGAAAGAGGCAAAAGCTTCTCAGTCATGGTAAAGTAGAAAGAAGATCCTGAGCTACTTGAGCATGTGGTGACGACAAAGACAGTTGAGCAGTAATTTATGTCCTCTCTAGCCTACATCAGTGCTATGGGAACACTGCTGTTTGTTTTGGATAGTAACCAGTGCTGATATTACAGAGAATCACACTAAGTAGCTTAAATCCTCCTGACTGCTTAGCAAAAAGTAGGACAGAGCAGAAAATCACTCAGTTTGGCAAAAACTTTTTTTTGCAACAGATGACTGTACTACTGACCAAATCTAGTATGATTAAAAAGGTAAAGGTAAAGGTTCCCTTGCTCGAAAGCCAGTCGAATCCGACTCTAGGATTGCGGTGCTCATCTCCGTTTCAAAGCCGAAGAGCCAGCACTGTCCGAAGATGTTTCCGTGGTCATGTGGCCGGCATGACTAAACACCAAGGCGCACGGAACGCTGTTACCTTCCCACCGAAGTGGTACCTATTTATCTACTTGCAATTTCTTGCTTTCGAACTGCTAGGTTGGCAGGAGCTGGAACTAGAGACGGGAGCTCACTCCGTCATGCGGCACCTGGGTCTCAAACTGCTGAACTACTGACCTTCCACAGCCTGCAGTTCAGCGTCTTAACCACTTGAGCCACCGCAGCTCCTAGTATGATTACTGGAAGCTTAATTGCCTGATTTTAGTTATGACTAGAAGCTGCCTTCTAGAGGAATTCTAACATATCATCCTTGGTTTAAAGAAAACCATTATCTAACCTCTTCCATTAAGAGGCCAAACCAGCATCACCATTGGTCCAAACTCTCTTATATTTCCAAACTGAATAGCCAATGTAGTTCCCAATGGCTGTCTCCTCTCTTGGCATTTTGATGCTGAGGCAGTGAGCTAACAGAATGAGCTTTGAATCAGGAAGTCTCTTGTCTGAAGCTCACCTGTTTCATGTCCTCTCTACGTAGGTGGCCTTAAGCTATGCACTCTCAGCCTCAGATCTGCATTACTGGGAAAACAGTGCTAGCATCACAGATTTAATCGTCAATATGTCTAATTGTCAACCTGGCCCCATCTGCAGACACTTGTAGGCACTGGGTGGGCTGCCGGTGAGCAGCCAGCCAGCCTGCCGAGCGAGGGGGGAGGGGCAGGCAAATGGTGGCAGGGAGGGCAGTCAGTCATGGAGATGGTATGGGGGACAGACAGGCAGGCAGTGCCCTACGGAGGTGAATGCATGGGTGGGCAGAGCAGCCAGCAGGGGGGATGTATGGCAGGCAGATCTGTGAGGAAGGGGATGAGCAAGTGAGCAGAGCAGTGAAAAGGGGCATAGGTAATCCGGGAAAGTGGTGGGAGGAGGATGGGTAGGCAGAGTGGTAAGCAGGGGAGAAGCTGAACTGAAAAAAGGGGGGGAACAGAAGAGCAAGGGGGAGGTGAGGAGGACCAGTGTTGGGGGTAAGGGAAGGAGAAGAAGTAGGGAGTGGAAGGAAAAACATTGTAGGAGGAGGTTACAAAGAAAGTATCTGACTATATCAACCTACAAGCATACAGGATCTGTTAAAGGCTCATCGGAAGATACAGATTCAGTTTCACATTTGGTTATGGTCACATTCACAGGAGACACCCACCCACTTCAGTAGCACAGGTCACCAGCCATCGCACCATCTCCCTTCGTCTCCAGTTTAAAGTTGATAGGGTCATGCGCATCACCTGCAAAGGCACAAAAGTGTGGATAATGATTACTTTCCAGAGACTCGAAATTGTGGCCCCATGAGCTGCATGGATGGGAGATTACATTCAGTCTAATCTAACCTGACTCATGTGTTGGCCAAAATGGAACTGGAAACTACGTATACTGTCCTGAGCTCATCAGAGCCAGCATGGTATAGTGAATAAAGTATCAGACTGGGATTTGGGAGATCCAGGTTCAAATTCCCACTCTGCCATGGAAACTTTCTGGTTGAACTTGGGCCAGTCACACACACTCAACCTAAGCTACCTCACAGGGTTGTTGTGAGGAAAAAATAGAGGAAAGGAGAATGATGTAAGCTTCTTTGGGTCCCCAACTGGAGAGAAAGATGGAATATAAATAAAAATAAAAAGAATCAGAGGAAGGTGGGATAAAAATACGGTAGGCAGACAGAAGCTGCTCTAGTCTTAGAGGAAGAATATGGTGTAAGTGCAATTAATGATTGGACAGCTACACCAGAGTTGCACAAAAAGGTTTAGTCTGCAGCAGCAAATATGCCGAAGAATGCAACTATATCCAGCATTTTCTTCATATCAGGTCTTCTGGAACATCTGGAAAGCCCTCCTTTTTTCCTAGAGACCACTGATCTTTTCCAGGTGCATTTCACTTACCTGCAGTCCTAGCTCCAATGCCACATTGAGCAGGGTTGTGTCAGAACTGTTGTCAGCAGGAGTGGCAATCTTGAAGGCATCCTGCGCCAGCTTGAAGATCAGGGAGGAGGAATGGATGTTCTTCTGAATTGCTTCCAGGACAGTGCGCAGACGCAGCATGTCTCCTGCATGGAAACAAGAAAGTTTACTGACTGCCCAGGTAGGCTGTCTGATATCTGTCTCAAGGTAGCAACATTTTCCTGTCTAAGCCACATATTGTTGCATTCCTAAATATTTGAGAAAAGAACAGCAGTGAAAAGTTCTCAGGTTTGCTGGAAAGAACCACTCTGAGGGCAAGCTATACACCTGGGACATCCTTTAACATCATAATACTAATTAAAGTATTTTCATGTGATTCGTTATGGCTCACATGTCCTCACCCTAGAATTCCTCCCATTCTGCCCATCCCAAACACATGGACTCCCAGAAAATATTCCAAGGAAGACAGCTACAGCAGATGAGAGAGCCTTTGCTGATCTCACTGGTATTAAACAAGAAAATACAACAGGGCATATGAACACCGTTCCGGAAAATATAATTGCCAAGCATTTTGGACTTAAAACATCTACACTGGACCAAAAGGATATATGATACTTTAGCTGATAGTCATATATTAAATCTAGAGGATCTAAAACATGTACTTCAGCCCCTGCCACACGGCAGGGAAAACACGAGGCGAAGCGCGGCTAAAGAGAGCCGCATCAAAAAAGATACGCGTGGGCGGGATCCCACGGATCCCGTGCACCACACGCCGTTGCTCGTGCCGGGGAGGAAGAGTAGGAGGCCGGGATGTGCCGCTGCAAGGACGCGCAGCCGATCCCACAGCCGGTTTGAGCCGCTCTACTTTGCAAGAACCACCCAGGTAGGTGGTTCTTTTTAGTGCGGGTTTTCGCGCGGAAGAGACAGATCGGGGACGGACAGGCAACGATTCCCAGATGTTGCCATGGGATCGCGCCCGTTTGATCCACCCCCGTTCTGTCTCGCTCCCGGACCAAAACCCCTCGTATGAACGGGGCCTTCAGTATGTTTATTTTTTATAAGGGACTGCAAGCCCCGAACTGTTACCCACTAATGCAGTCAATGAAGGAAGATTTGATTTAATTTATTAAATTTCTACCCTGCCCTCCCGGCCGAGGCTGGCTCAGAATTTACAGTACACAGCAACAATTAAAACAATTAAACAATTCTAAAACCATTTACACCATAAGACATAATAAAGATAATTAAAGATGACTATAGGCTCAAAATGTTACAGTGATTGCATTTATCTGTACCACTACCCCACAAAGTAGCAAGGGAGAGGTTACAAACCAAATTTTGGAAGCCTATGTTGCAACATAAAGGAGACAAAACAGACACTTTCAACTGTATTTTCTCCTTTATTAGGTACTCTGAACAAAACCAGCTTTAGGACTGGAGAAGTAATCCAGGAAGAAGAGAAGGAAGAGTGTTTAATGAAGGATCATGTTAGAGGGTGGTAAGGGCACGGGACATATATCAACCAGTTTGATGGCTGTCCAGGAATGTAAACAAATGGAAACCTCCAGTAATGCACACTGCGGAGATTTTATTTAGATAACTATTCCACCTCTTTTTAAAAGCTTTAAAACATCAAAAACTTGCAAGTAAATAATACCACAGCAGTGCTTAACATTTCCAGTGTCCAAGTCCAACAATAAGCACACAATAAAACTCAAAAATCCCACTACAGAATCCCCCTTTGTTCAAAAAAGTTTGACACTATTCACTGATAAATAATACCAGCCTTCATGAAGAGAAAGACCTTTTATCACTTCCTGCCAGTCAGCCAGTCAGACCTTAGCAGCCAGTTTTTCAAAAGCCAGGTATTCTTTGTTAAAGCTCCAAGGAATATAGCCAGTGTCAGCTTTTCCCTGCCTGACTTGCTTCCAGAAATGCTATTCTATGTCAAATCAAAGTTGAGGTCAGAGACATGGATAGGTCCTTGGTCTCTGAAGCCTAAAGCTTTGGCTTTATTTTACTGACCTCTGAGTTTTGTTTAGCAGCCAGCATCCATCTGGTCTGGCTGGAACTGTGAGGACATGCAGATAGGAACAGTCACTGCCACTGAACCAGCCCACAGAGAGGACCACTGCCAAATGCTTCATGAGGAGAACAAGACACAAAACAGTGACAGCTGCCTTGCTGTTCAGGAGGAATTTCTCTATCCACTCAAAAGAGAGTTAGGCAGGATCCCAAGGAGCAGTGACTGGGCCACACAGGTCATATGGCATTCAGGCGCACGGCACAGTGACTACTGGACATGACCATATCTTTTCAGAATTGTACTTCTTGTGCCATGCTGGCTCTCAGGATGAACAGCAGTCAATCCAAAGGCCAAACTAAGGCATCCTAGCCATTAGCCAGGACACAGAAACAGTCTGACTTCCAACATGAGGGATCGTGCAATTCTATGAAGAGTTACTCCAGTCAAAGGCCATTGAAACCAGAGTTTAGATTGGGTTAACTTTGCCTGGTACAGCACTGCCAAGCTCTTACACAGCGAGTTTCCCTAAACCAAGGAAGTCATCTCCAAGATTTCTTCAACTGCAACCAAAACAAATGGGTAGACTGGCAAATGGGTCGACAAATGGGTTGTAATCACACACCCTCAGCCAGGGCAAGTAGAACAAAGGAATATAAAAAGGCAGGGAGGCAGTCAAGCATCTGGCCCAAAGTAGGGCTTAAGGGCTACTTGGGAAGGTAGGCTACAGAGATACCAAACATTTGCAAAACAAATATAGTTGCTCCACTGACCTGGATCCTGGAGCACCAACCATCATGGGAGGGGCTCACAGCCTCACCTGTGCTGCAGTGAATGGGAGGGGCTAGCCTGCAGACAGTCACTCACTGCCATGTGGGAGTAAGCTTTTAAGAGCCCCACCCATCCAGCAGAGCACAGACAGGCTCAGCATTTAGGAATGCATGATGCTATTTGCTGATAAAACTAAGAGAACAGAGCCTCCATGCTTCGCAATTAGCCTCCTTGATGTGGGCCAGCAGGAACAAGCCTGCAGGCTAGTTTTATCATTCCTAAAGGCAATGCAGAGTGGCACCTTTGCTGTGGTCCCTCGACGACGGCAGGAGGCAAATGCTGCCTATGTTGCAATGCCTCCCCACCGCTCCCTTTACTTCCAAAGACATCAAAGGCCAAAGCTGTCCTTACTCCATTCATTCCCGGTTTCCCTGGGAGTTCTTACGACATTCAACAACTCTTGGTAATATTTCAAGGACAGAAAAGGCTACCTCTGGGGCATTGTGTACTCTGTCAGAAGAGCTGCTATGAGCATTTACTGTGATCATCTGACACAAGTTATTTGCCTTTCGATTACAGGCTTTTCTCGTGATCATGTTCAGTGGCACAAAATGTCCTTCACCCACCTTTGGCTGCTGTCAGCATAGTAGAAGCAAGTTCACACTGTTGCGATTCCAAGTGTCCCAGAGTAAACCAGCGTGGGTACCTGCTAGGTACCACCGAAACAATATGGTGAGGGTGTGTGACATCACCAGAAGGAGTCGTCTCTAAAACTGGCAACCTAATAGGAACCAAAACAGCAAATGTCAGCTTCATTCAGGGGCACCTGCCTTTCTGTCTTTCCCCCCATAACACACTAGTGTAGAACCACACAGAAAACATTTCAAGGGCTTCTATAACATATGGACACAATACTAGCTTCAAACAAACTTGAATGGCCTCTAGAGAACTGAGGAGTGATTTATAAACTTGTAAAAGAAAAATATAAGTTTAGAAACACCCCCCTCTTGTGCCTTTTATGTTAGAGCCAAGCATGGTTTGCATAGCAGTCATCTGGTTTTGCTTACTGGGGGGGGGGGGCTCATGCTCCAGGGCATCTGCTGCAGCTTGGAGCTACCTGCTCACATGTTTGTATTTAAAAGCCTCGGGAATCCAAGGAAAAGGAAGCCAGGACTTCTCCTCCCACCCAGATGTGCTGGCTACGACACACAACTACTACAATACTTGAGGGGTCCCTGCATTATATTAGTTTTACTAGTAAGTAAATCTGAAGACAAATGGCAGTAGACTGTCAACTGCCAGCCTACAGGTGCTCCCCTTCCCACTGCATATTTTGGTCAACCAGCAGCAGCCAAATGACATCCAAGCACTCTTTGCATCAGATACTAAGGACAGTCTGCATATCCCACTAGAGGAGTACAATTTACCACTCCCAGTTTTGTATTCTCAATCACTAGTAGGTTTTGAGGACCAGCAAAGATGCTGGAATTCCTGGGCTTGTTAGAATTTCAAGATATGGTCAAGACTGAATCAAAAGTTAAGCAAGAAGGAAATTAAAGTACACTGATAAAACAGACCAACCGCACCTGCTAATCAGTATGTTGTATACATTTTACTTTTTAGAAGTGAGCATGAAAACAAACGATTCCCTTTAAAAACCTGCCTTAAAAATACTGCAATGATTTGTACACTGGAGAGGTTTTAGAAAAGAAACAGTTAAGACACATAGCAACCTTTTTTAGTCATTGCATTACAGGCTGTCTTTTACTCAAATGAAGGAAGTAGAAAAGCTGTACTCACCGCATGGAGCGCAGGGCCAACTTGTAGGCCAGATCAGCATCGTGTGGCAGCAAGGCAGAAAAGAGGTACTTGGCAAAGGTGTGCATTGGGACACTTTCACGGTGGATGACCTCACCAAGGCCACTGAAGGGGCCACCTGTGCAGGAACAGGACCATGTCACTGTCTGCCCTGCAAGCAGGCTACTCTGTATTTCAGAGACTTCTGTTCACCCATTCAACAGACAATTGGCAGAACAGAACCGGTAGCATCCCACCTCATTCTTAAGGATACAGGTGTTGGGAATAAAATCCCAACTAGGCAGAGGAGAGCAGCAACAATTTGCTCAAGGGAGCAAGGAACTGACTTGTAATCCCCTCCCAAGAGTCTTGAGACAGGAGTTAAATTTGCCATGACATTCGGTGCCGGTAGCTCCTCGACAACCATCTGCTAAGGGCACCGGAAGCATTTTTGTGGACTTTCCAGGGCTCAGGGAAGTATTACGTATCCTTATTTCTCCATGGCCTTCAGGGTGATGCTCTCAAACTCCATCTCATAATACATATATTGCTGCCATACGGTTCTGTTCAAACAAGCTCTCTGACCACCCACACCTGATTATACATTGTGACCAACGGGAATCTTCTAGTTTCTAGTAGATGTGGAATATAAGCTTAATGTTGGGATTCACAGAATTGTTTCAATGTCATGGAAGGCTGATAGCAGCAGCACCTCTCACCTTCCAAAAGCAGGATGCACTGCTTGCGCAGTGTCTGCACCAACACAGCGTCCAGCTCCAGCTCTTGCAGGCGGACAATGATCTGCTCTTCGTTGCGCCACACTTTGTCTTGAGCATAAAGGCCCTCCGGCATCACCCGCTGCTGGCCCATCCCCATCAATGCCACTTCCAAAGCCAGGGATAGGTAGGATTCTCCACCTTCAGGGCAACTGTTAGCCACAGGCACATGCTGATACACTGGAGGCTTGGAATCTCCAGCATCTGACAGAAAACAGAGTTATCCATGGGATGTGTAGCTACCCTCCCCTAAGTACTTGCCCCCTTCACTCCTTGCAAGAGTCACAATCTGATTGGTCTAGCTTACACATTTGAAAGACAACATAATCATTGTCTCTTAGTGTAGCTCATGTGCCCAAACATACTCGCTCAGTTGTGCTAAGATGTACAGGTAAATTCATCAACCACATCCCAGCAACATCTGCATAAAGCAGTGAATTGTAGGAAAACCTTGAAGAGCATCACAGAACTGTCTGGCTCCCAACAGTCACCTACGGGGCACATGGGCAATCCATCACAGAAGGGCATGATGGATTCCAGGTCTTCAGGCTGGCCCCAGGCTCTGGCAGCAACAAAAGGCTTTCGCTTCTTTCACAGAAAAGGATTGTTCAGTTGGCAGACAGTCCTTCCCTTGGGATACCCTGTGCTCACCACAGGAAGCCAGACAAGCACTGTACATAGCTTCAGTATGCAACAGGAGAAACCTGCACATTCCACTTTTGGAATGGAGAGATACAAAGGCTTAGAGAAACTCTGTACTGGATTCAGGGCTGACAAACCAAACTGCTAATTATTTCCATACCTGAGATTTCAAGACAGTTTTCATCTTCTACTCGACAGGCTTCTGTCAGAGTGAGAAACAAGCAGCCAATGGGGTTGAGGGGATGTCCCACCCAGCTCTCCAGGTTTGTGATGGTGGTTGCTCCTCTCTGCAGCAGTTCTGAAGTAAGGCAAATAAAGCAAGAAAAATCCCACAGTAATTGTTCATTTTCATATGGTACGGAGAACACATTCCTATGGCAGTACCGTTACTTCCATATACACACCACATCTGTTACATTTGTTTTTGCTGTCAAGTCACAATCAATTTATGGTGACCCCATAGGGTTTTCAAGGGAAGCGGAAGAGGAGGAGGAATAGGAAGAGACTGGATTTATACCCCACCCTTCACTTGGAGTCTCAGAGTGGCTGACAAACTCCTTTCCCTTCCCCTCCCCACAACAGACACCCTGTGAGGTAGGTGGGGCTGAGAGAGCTCTTTCAAGGACTGCTCTTCAGAGAACAGCTCTGAGAGAACTGTGACTGACCCAAGGTCACACCCGCAGCTGCATGTGGAGGAGTGGGGAATCAACCCCGGTTCTTCCAGATTACAGTCCATGCTCCTAACCACTAAACCAAACTGGAGGCACATAGAGGTGGTTTGCCATTGCCTGCCTCCACATAGCAACCTTGGACTTTCTTGATGGTTTCCTATCTAAGTATTAACCAGGGCTGATCCTGCTTAGCTTCTAAGATCGGACAAAATCAGGCTAGCTTAGACTATCCAGATCAGGGCATCCATTACATGCTGTTGTGAAAATACTGCTCAAAAGATAAAAATCCAGCATGGCCTGGCCTTGCATTTCCTGTTTGATTAGAAGAGCTCTGGATAATGACCACCAGGTACAGCTGTGTCTCATACACCCGTAAAACCACCCGTCAAGAACACCAGCAAAAAGCATGCCCAGACCTTTCTTTTGATGCTTGTATATCTCAAGCTGCCTTTGCTGCTGCAATCTCAAGGTGTTGATGATAGCCACAGTCAGGCGGAGAGCTTCCTTAGGGTATCCATGGGATCGAAGAGCATCAACCCGGGCACAGGCTGTAGGGACATGCTCTGTGGCATAATGCAAAACACAACAAGCAATTAAGTCTCAAATACAAGCATGCCAGTAGTATTGTCTGTGCAAGGGATCAGTTCAACTGATGTCAGGAGCTTGGGGTTTTATTACTGTTTCTGAATGCTCTGCCTTGTTGCTGAACTAGAAATTATTGGGGGGGGGACGACTAGGAAAGATCAACTAAACATAAAATGTAATGAACTGATTGAAAACTCTAAAGTTTCTCAAATGAGTAGTATATACAAACTACTATCAAATCAGAATATAATCCATATGGTCAGATAATAATTTGTATACTATGGTCCCTGCTACACGAGGGAAAAAAAGGACGGGCAAAGTGCGGCTTTTAAAGGGATTCTCCACCTTTTAAAAGCCACACCAAAATAGACACGCGGCAGCGGGATCATATAGATCCCGTGAGCCGCCATGCGATTGCTCCCCGGCACAATCAGATGCCGGGGAGACTGGGGAGGAAGCCACGGGAGGCTGCCAAACTGCGCATGTCTGAGCATGCGCAGTTCGGCCGGGGATGCGCCGGCGGAAGAACGCGCCAGCGATCCCACGGCTGGCTTTGATGTGGCCTTTTGGAAAGAACCACCTCAGGAGGTGGTTCTTTTTTGCTGCGGGTTATCGTCGGAAGGGCCGGATCGGGGACGGGTGCGCAACGCTTCCCAGATGTTGCAGTGGGATCGTGCCCGTTTGCTCCGCCCCCGATCCGTCCCTCTCCCGGCCCAAATCCTCTCGTGTGACTGGGGCCTATATTTCTTGTTGAGGGACTTTTGAGTTTCCAACCAGTTTGTAACATCTTTATATTTTAGTTAATCTTTCCTAGTATCCCCCATCCTTAGTTTCTGTTTCTTTCTCTGCTTTGGGCTGTTTGAGTACATTTCTCTCACCTCCTTTTTAATGCAGAAATATTATGTGGTATACATCTCTGACAGGCTAGGTTTCCATGAACTGGATTTTTGGTTTGTTTTTGCTTTTATGCAAGGGAACATTCAAATATGCAGTTCCTCACCTGCAATCCAAAATGGCAAAGCCCCGGGAGGGCTATACCATGTGATTCTGATTATGTAAAGCAGCAACCATTCATTCTTGTGCAATATTATAACATTTTGAAGCTGTTTCTCCCTGATGGATTATTCAGATGTGTAGAAATAGAGCATCATACAGGTCCTTCAAACTGCAGGTGGAGGACTACATGTCTGAATGTTCCTCCTGTAGGAAAGGCCTCCCTGCATATGGAAAGTTGTATAAAGGAAAAAAGGTTTTAGTCTAGCCTCTCCCTGCCATGCCAAATTTCTACATGAAAGGAAGCATTCTCTTTTCACATAGAAAAGTATAGCTGCAGATTTGATATGATGGTCTCCTTAACTTGCCCCCAAATATAAAGAATCACATGTAGTGCTCTACCATAATCCCTTTCTACATTTTTCCTTACCAAGGAAACAACTGCAACTTGTCATGTAACTTCTATAAAGTTTTTTGAAGGTTTCTGCACTGGAATACTTATACATTAAGTGTGCACTCCGAACTGTTTGCGAGGATTTTATTACAAGAAAGCCGCTTACCCTGCATGTGGTACAATTGCGTTGTACATAAATGTATCTGTCCCTGCTGGTTGTTCTCCACCTGGAATCCTAGTTATTGTGGTGAGGATTATGACTCTAAGGGAGAAGTCATAAGCAGGAACAGATGACACACACTGGATGGAAAGCAACAAAGAGCTCACTCCGCTACAAATGTCCTTGGCATGGGAAACGTAGGAGACAGAAAATCACAGGAGTATGACATTTCCCATAAGGCATTTAAAGGCCTTCAAATGCAGCTAGACTCCTCTTTCCCCTCCTCCTGCTCCTGCAAATTCCCAGCTGGTTTGCCAAGTGCTCTTAAAGGCCACCTTTGCACTCTTGAGAAGACAACCTAGGCAACGAACATTTCAGGAAAAAATCCCTAGTGCGTGTTTATCAAATCAAGAAATCATTGAAATGTTTCTGGCAAATCAACAACAATCCATGGTAGTTTTGGTCTCCTCCAGGAGGTGCTCTGAAAAGAGAGTGTGGGATCCAGTAGTGTGTGTGTGTGTCTGGCCCCTCCAGCAGTCTGACTATCAGCTGCCTTGCAGAGAGTTCTGAGCCACTATATTCCTCCTCCTCTTCTCCATCTCTCCAGTACAGCCGGTGGAGAGAAGCCATCAGCCTCCTCCTCAGCCTGCTTCCCAACCCATTTCAAGGCAGCCTGACAAGCTATGCATTTCCCCTGATCATCTATAGCCTCTTGTGAAGGCCTCAACCCATGTCAGAGGTAAGAAGTAGCACTGGCTAACCCCATGGTCAAATTCTGGCCCTCCACCAGGGCTGCCAAGCCGCGGCGGGGGATCCGCATGTCTTCACAGGATCCCTGCTGCGGGGGACAGCAATACGCGTTGCACCGCCGTCGCCAGGATGTGACGCTACGGGTCGCTCTGGCAACGGGGCTGTTTGGAGTCCCATTGCCAGAGTGACGCGTAGCGTCACATCCTGGCGACGGCGGTGCAACGCGTATTGCTGTCCCCCGCAGCAGGGATCCTGTGAAGACATGCGGATCCCCCGCCGCGGCTTGGCAGCCCTGCCCTCCACCCTTTTGAGCCATCCTGGGATACCACCAATCAGCTGCTGAGGTATCAGTGTCTCTTTGAAGGGTCTGCAGCAACCCTGTTTCCAAGCTATCCCTAGATAAGTCCAGGGATTCTCCTACCCACAGACAGACAGAGCAGGAGATAAGACAGCAGTATTCAGACTCAGAATATTTAGTATAAATTCATTGGGTAAGCCTGTAATTTAATGAGTTTGGGAGAAAATGGTATAAATATTGAGAGCTTAGAAGAACAAAGGGCCAGGCCACTGCAGCCCCAAACAGCTGAGTAATGTGATCGGGAAAGGTGCAATCTTGGAACCTCTGTAACTTCATTGTTGGGTTGCTGTACCTGAATTATATTCAGCCATGTTCACTGCAATGCTGCAAGGAATCTTTAGGGGCACTCTTTAGATCTTACATACTTCACTGGCACCTCTTAAAATAGTGTTGTTCCAAGCTTGCTCGGTTTGATCATCCTGATAGGCCTTGAATTTCTGCAATCTTAACAACATATAAATTGCTGCTCTGGATTGTAGAGCTGCAGGATATGGAGTATAGATCTCTGGTGTACCCACCTGTTACTTGTCTATAAAGCAAGTGGAATAAGAAGCACTTTCAGAAATGTCCGCCAGTAGTGAATAGTTATAATGCACTCTGACAGTTTGATTATCCCAGCTTTGGACCAAGTCCAAAGCTGGGATAGTCAAAGGGAATCTATACTGATCTGTACAAACCCCCTATGATATTCTTTCTGTATAGCCTGTAGTGTGACTTCCATGTTGTAGGAATGGATTTTAATTCCATTTCCTCCTGTTCAAAAGGGGGCATTTTGTGATACTGTTTGTTAGCACTGGAGTCTGCACCTTTGTTCTCCAAGACCCAAGATAGGCAAGGTATCCCCAGCAAAGGACCAGAGACCAGGCAACAATTATTTGACAGCTTCTGTGAAGGAACCCAATTGGCACAGGACTACTCAAGCTTGAGGCTGTGAATTCCTAGGATCCACATGGTGAGCAGGTGAAGAGTCATGCATGTGTGTACCACTCTTATTCCCCCAAGAAAGAGGCTAAAAATTCAAACTTAGCTTAAGCAAACACAATATTCCTCCAAACTAGTGTGGATTGAGAAGAGGAATAAGGGCTACCACCAAGAAAAATAAGCTTACCCAGCCATAATGGCTGTCCTTGTGAGTTGAAGAGAAGGCCCTCACCCTCCCTTTGGAAAGAAGGAGAGATGTAGAAGTCACTGCTGATTATTCGTTGGAGGTGGCTGTCCTGCCAGTGCAGGTCACAGCCTTCAATAGCACGAGTGAACACGGTGCGTCTCGGCCTTGCTAAGGAGTCTAAAAGGAAACGAACATAGAGGGTCATCTGCTATGACTTGTGGGCTCCTATTATCCTTCATGCTAGCTTGGTTAATTCTCAACCTTTGTCGCACGAAATTTGGTGTTCCCATATGACGAAACCAAAATTGGAGTAGCATGCTTCCATATCAACCACCGGCAGAAACACTGGGCAGAGAAAGTTGAAGAAGGGGTGCCATGTAACATGCTAGAAATATTACTCTGGCACCGGGCAGTGTTAACCGTAGGACACACTGGAGAGCTCTTGTGGTCCTGCAGCCCAGCCTTCCCCACACCAAACTTATAAACAGAATTGCTAGATGCCATGTTCTTATACCCAAGATAAAGCCATGACCAGAAAACAGATACAGCACATTTTAAGCCTAGCTCTCCCATCCCCACCATGATTTCTGGTAAGCAGAGGCTCAGAACTTCTGCACCAGAAGAAGGTCTCAGGTTTAATTCTCAGTTTTAAAAGATCTCAGACTCAAGGTATTGGAAAATGCCTTTCTTTGCCTAACAGTTGCTACCAGTTGAAGTAGAACACATACAGAATTGGGCAGGAATGGCTCAAGATTGCAATGCACAACAGTGGTGCACCTACTGAAGTCCTGGTTATAAACATGAGATTTGTCAGGGCACACCAGAGCACAGGAGATAACTGAGGAGACAGCAAATGTTAATTGAGCTGTTGAATTCAGCAGTTTTTGTTCAGTGAAACAGGTTAATCTGAACATATCTTGGGACTAGTAAAGAGCAAGGAACAAACTACCGTTGTTAGAGGTGCATACTGTTATACTTTTCATATCACTCAAAATACTTCCAAAGGTCTACCGCCTGGCATGCAGAGGCAACAATGGGATATTTCTTATCTGAACAACCTTTATGTGCTTGTGAAGTTGAAATGTTGCAAGACTTTTTTCTACTGGAGACATTCAGTGTTACAGCAGAGATCAAAATGTTCAACCTCCCCCCGCTTACCTTGCTGATGATTGGAGCTCTGTGTAAGTGCAGTAGTGATGTTAGGAAGTTCATTGCCATAATTTCCATCTTCCAAAGGGCAAACATCCATATCGCCCCATTTCCGGAGCTGTCGAAGCCAGCAGGCCTTCTCTTCTAGTGTACAGTGAGGGTTTAACACAACGCATACCCACAGGGCCCCTGTAAAAATAAACCAGGTGAAGGAATGCATCAGGAGTTAGTTGATGCTATCTGACATGAGCATGCAACCTGCTTTCCTTGCTGCCTCCTTGCCTGTAAATGTCTCAAAAACATCCACATCTTGTTTCAGGGAAATGCACTGAATTCCAGAGAGAAAAATTATATAAAAGAAAATAAATTACTGACATAAACATCTTGCATAATGAAGTTAAATTATATTGTAGAGGCAGTGGTTGAATATATATCTGAGACTGTTTCTGACTATCAGGACAAATCTGGTGTTTCGACTGCACAACAAAGCTTGCTTAAAATTATGCTAGCAAACTCAAGGTCAGAAGGTCTAAATAATAAGCTGGTTTTTATCCTGCTTTATTTGTATCTGCAATACAGCAAAGTGTATCCAGTTCTTTACCTCACAAGACCTGCTTTATCCAGATCAATGTAAAGAATCCAGCATTCGCTAGAATTTATATAGCAGTGGTTACGTAGAGAGCTGTTACATGCTGAACTTAAGGAAAGATACATGCATGCACATACAGAGACAAGGCAATATATTTTATCTGGCTAATTTTCGCATCTGCAGGAGTTCTGTGTAACCTGAAAACTTGCCTAACATAAGAACATAAGAGACACCAATGTTGGATCAGGCCAAAGGCCCATCCAGTCCAACACTCTGTGTCACACAGTGGCCAGAAATACCAGTGCCATCACCAGTTGGGCCAGAACATTAGAAGCCCTCCCACTGTTGCCCCCCCCCCCCAAGCACCAAGAAGACAGAGCATCACTTACCCCAGAGTCCCTGTATATAAATATTGCTTCTATATTCACATGCCTTCTCCTGTGATGTCTTTTGAGAACAAGCTGTGTCTTGTTTCCTGTTGCAAGCCAATTGGTGAGGCCACATGGCCTCAATAGCCATGCCATAAACCCACATTCTTTCACACTTTCATGCCAAAAGGCAGACCTCATGGCTACACTTTCTGGCCCACATGCGACTAGTCATGTAGACCATGAAGAAGCTGTGGAGTTTGGGTCACCTGACTGTAGGAGGGGCTCCAAACTTCTAGCCATTCCTGTGTTGCAGCTATGGCAACCAACAATTGGGCACACCCATGCCCACTCGCAATTGGCTGATGGCCACGGCTAATTTGTGACTGGAATTGGAGTATAATTGTTTTTATCTCCCTTCCTCCTCTTGTCATTATCTGTTTTATGGCACCTGAAGTGCTGCCTCTTGAGAGACAAAGAGTTGCTTTGTGACTTGGAGCACATGGTTATGCAAAAATGGGATTTCCCTTCAGGCCTAGTGGTTTAAGAACATAAGAACATAAGAGACGCCAATGTTGGATCAGGCCAAAGGCCCATCCAGTCCAACACTCTGTGTCACACAGTGGCCAGAAATACCAGTGCCATCAGGAGGTCCAGCAGTGGGGCCAGGACATTAGAAGCCCTCCCACTGTTGACCCCCCCCCCAAGCACCAAGAAGACAGAGCATCACTTGCCCCAGAGCCCCTAGCTATACCTTGTGGCTAATAGCCACTGATGGACCTCTGCTCCATATGCTTATCTAATTCCCTTTTGAAGCCGTCCATGCTTGTAGCACCCACCACTTCCTGTGGCAGTGAATTCCATGTGTTAATCACTCTTTGGGTGAATAAGTACTTCCTTTTATCCGTTCTAACCCGACCGCTCAGCAATTTCATGGAGTGCCCACGGGTTCTTGTATTGTGAGAAAGGGAGAAAAGTACCTCTTTCTTTACCTGCTCTTTCCCATGCATAATCTTATAAACCTCGATCATGTCACCCCTCAGTCGTCTTTTCTCCAAGCTAAAGAGCCCTAAGCGCTTTAACCTTTCCTCATAGGGAAAGTGTTCCAACCCTTTTATCATTCGAGTTGCCCTTTTCTGCACTTTTTCCAAAGCTATAATATCCTTTTTAAGGTGTGGTGACCAGAACTGCACACAGTATTCCAAATGAGGTTGCACCATTGATTTATATAGGGGCATTATGATATTGGCTGATCTGTTTTCAATACCCTTCCTAATAATCCCCAGCATAGCATTGGCCTTTTTTTATTGCAGTCACACACGGTGTGTTATTTACTACAACTCCAAGATCTCTCTCGTGATCAGTCTCTGCCAGTTCAGACCCCATCAATGTGTATTTATATTTAGGATTTTTGGCTCCAATGTGCATCACCTTGCACTTGGCCACACTGAACCCCATTTGCCACATTGATGCCCACTTGCCCATCCTTGACAGATCCCTTTGGAGTGCCTCACAATCCTCACTGGTTTTCACCACCCTGAACAACTTCGTATCACCCGCAAATTTAGCCACTTCACTGCTTACTCCCAACTCCAAATCATTAATGAACAAGTTAAAAAGCACCGGACCCAGTACTGATCCCTACGGTACCCCACTGCTTACCACCCTCCACTGAGAAATTGCCCATTTATACTCACTCTCTGTTTCCTATGAATTAGCCAGTTTTTGATCTACAAAAGGACTTGTCCTTTTATCCCATGATTTTTGAGCTTACTTAGGAGCCTTTGATGAGGAACTTTATCAAAGGCTTTCTGGAAGTCAAGGTAAACAATATCTATTGGATCCCCCTTGTCCACTTTTCACCAATGATAAAAGCTTTTCGCTTGCCTACTTTTCACCAATGATAAAAGTGCTCCAGAAAAAAAATAACTGTGAGACCAAGCAGGCTGCTCTTTTTTTACAAGTAGCAGTGGTTTCTCTGCTAAGCTTAAAAGTCACCATTATTCTCACAGCTATCATACATTTATATGCTGCCTGTGATCCACCAAGTCCAGCAAAACTCCTCACTCATGTACAGCAGCCAACCTGTCACAGGAATCTATAAACCTACTGTTTTTGCTACCTGCATCAAGCTTCTGGAGGATCTCCTATTATTCAGCAGCAGTCAGACTGGGGGGGTGTCATACTTTATGTAGGCCTGAACTTGGGGTTGCCAGCCTCTAGGTGGGGCCTGGAGATCTCCTGCTTTTACAACTGATCTCCAGCTGACAGAGATCAGCTCCCCTGGAGAAAATGGCTGCTTTGAAGGGTGGACTCTACAGCATTGTACCATGCTGAGGCCCCTACCTTCCCCAAACCCTGCCCTCTCCCAGATCCACCCCCAAAGTCTCCAGTTATTTTCCAGCCCAGACTTGGCAACCCCATCTGAACTACACTGCAGTACAAGCAACCCATTCCTGCCAATTTCCATCTTTCAGTCCTGCCTTCCACTCCTTTCCAGTCACTCAGTCTCTGACCCCAACATGTTTCCAAACTGCTCAGACTCTTCCACAAACAGCAAGAAGCTGCAAAGCACTGTGAACAGCAGTGCCATAGAACTGGTTTGGATAGTCCCTGGCATTTCTTTTTGAGGTTCAACCACAATACAGGGCTGGCATCCTTGAACTTCTTTCTAAGAGTTTCTTTCCTTCCCTTGCAGAAGAGGAAAAAAAAACACAGCTCTGTAGCTCTGGCTTTTGAAGTCTCCCAGCCATCAGGTCCTCCCATGGAGCTGCTTACCCAAAGCTGCCAGTTTAAAGAGTCAGTTATTTTGATAAAGGGCTGGGGAGGGGGGTTGCCATGATGCTCAGCTCGAAGCAATTCACAGATCTGGCTCCCAGGTGGCAAGTTTTTAACCTCTTATTTGGGTTTATACAAAACAGCTGATCTAAACCACAGACTAATGGAAGTGAATGACTGGGGATGGTTTTCTCCCTAATTGTTCTGTTCCTTGCATGAGTTTTTTTTTTAAAAAATCTGGTACTAGTTACTGTCAGAAAAAAGGGATCAAGAACTGAAGTACAGACAACTCAGAACACTTGCTGGGGCCCAAGACTGCCACTCCTATTGATCAGACTGGAAACACTGACAAAGACAGGGCCCACTTGGACAACTCAGTCCAGATGCAATACTATGATTTGACTCTATGGCCCAAGCCTCAGACTTGCAGGCTTTGTCTTCTTTTCTCTTCCTCAGGAATCCTGCAATTCCTTGCCTTCCTCTTTTTTTTCTTCTTCAGGAAACCATAACTTGAAGTTAAACACATGTTAAACAAACTATGGCCCTGGTCACACGGAGCATTTGCCGCGCTAAAGATACAGATGATAGGCGGATTTTCCGGGCGCGATCACACCGCAACATCTGGGAAGCGTAGTGCTCCCGTGGCTATCCTGTGGCTTCCCACCAAAGATGCGGAGTAAAAAACTAGTACTTATGAGGTACTGGTTTCTGGACACCGCCGGGCAAGGGCGGGCGTCTGATCATGTTTCCGGTGGAATCCCGTGGCATTTGGCGCCCGCCGATGTTCCATTGCAAACAAGGGGTTCACCCCCCCAAGTCTCCGCAGGATGCGCAAAAGCGCCCAACAGCGCATGCGCACAAACTACAGTAAAAAAAACATCCGTTTTCCATGGAAGCGGCACCTAGCGATTGCTGCTGTGATTGCGCCGCGCCGCTTCTTTGCCGCGCTGCAGGATAGCCATGTGATCGGCACCTCACCCCCTAACCACGGGACCTCGACGGGACATGTGATCGGGTGGCCGCGCATTATTTGCTCCGGGGCAAACAGCCACGCTTCCCCCCCCGCATTTTCCAGCCCATGTGACCGGGACCTATGGGTGTTACAAACTTAGTTGGTATCCTAAGCTGTGCCAGTGTTTGAAGGTAGGATAGGAGGATAATACTTTTCACTTGCACTGGCATCTACGTGATGGTGTATAACACTGCGTAACATTGCACCAGCACTGGGAGGCATACCTAGGATGGAAAAGGCTTGGGAAGCACATTTCAAAGCAATGTAAAATAATAATATACAAAGTGTAAGTATGGCCTGCTCTAAGTCATAACATGTTCCTGACACCATACCATTCTACATTGACAGTGGGGCTATACCACTGCAGTACCAGCAGGGCTTAGTGTGAGTATATTTCCCACCTATACCCATATATCCTCAGGATACAGCAGCATAGGGTATA